CCTTGGCTCCGGCTCTGTTTCGTGGCGGTCTACCCGCTCGTCTTCTGTTCTCAGCTCCAGCTGTGAGGCTGAGATCTACGCAGGGGCCATGGCTGCACAAGAGCTATGCTTGCTCACCTACCTGCTAACTGACCTAGTAGAGCCGCCTTGTTCTCCTCCAGTTCTGTACGTAGACAACAAGGCCATGCTGGCCTTGTGTCGGGAGCACAGACTGGAGCACAGAACGAAGCACATTGCTCTCCGCTACTTCCTGGCTCGTGAGCTGCAGCAGCATGGTCAGCTCCGCCTCACCTACGTGGCCTCTGAGGCCAACACTGCTGATATATTCACCAAGGCCCTTCCGCCTTGTGATCATCAGCGCTTCTGTACTTTGCTAGGTGTTGTGCCTACCTGGCCTCACTTGCTTACCTCTTGATCTTGTTTGTACTGTACTCTTTCTATACCTGCACTTGCTTGTTTACCTTTATATATATGATCTTGCATGTGAACTGGCCTTGTGGCCTTACTCTTATGCTCGGACTGTGTGGTGACTTTGTGATCCATCCTGAGCTTGCTTTGCTTTGCTTGACTGGTCTTGTGACCACTTGTTCTCCCCCACTTTGCCTATGGGGGTGTGTCAGAACATTATAGCTTATACATTTGTGTAGGCTGTAGTGGGGTAGCCCATAAGGGGTACAACCTAATTAGGGTTAGTACTTGTACCCAACTCTTTCATAGTTCATTCATTTCTCTCGTTTTATTCTTCACACGGATCGACAGTAGGGCGGCTCGGCGACTGGGCGGCTCGGCTGCTGGGCGGCTCGGCTGTTGGGCGGCTCAGCTGCTCGGCAGGTGGGCGGCTCGGATGCTGGGCGGCTCGGCTGCAGGGCGGCTCGGCTGCTGGGCGGCTCAGCTGCTCGGCAGGTGGGCGGCTCGGCTGCTGGGCGGCTCGGCTGCAGGGCGGCTCGGCTGCTCGGCAGGTGGGCGGCTCGGCTGCTGGGCGGCGCGGCTGCTAGGCGGCTCGGCTGCTGTGCTGCTCGGCGGCTCGGTCGCTAGGCGGCTGATCGGTGACAGGGCCGGTAGAGGCGGCGACGTGGCCGCTAGGGGAGGGCGACGGGGCTGCAGGTGATGGCGACGGGGCCGCAGGTGGCGGCGAGGCCGCAGGTGGCGGCTGCGTGGCCGCAGGTGACGGCGACGGGGCCGCAGGTGGCGGCTGCGTGGCCGCAGTTGGCGGCGACGGGGCCGCAGGTGGTGGCGACGGGGCCGCAGGTGGCGGCGGGGTGGCCGCAGGTGACGGCGACGGGGCCGCAGGTGACGGCGATGGGGCCGCGGGTGGCGGCGACGGGGCCGCAGAGGGGCCGCAAAGGGCCGCAACGGGGTCGAAGAGGGGCCGCAAGGGGCCTAGACGGGGCCGTAGAGGGGCCGCACGGGGCCTAGACGGGGCCGCAGAGGGGGCCGCAAGGGGCCTAGACGGGGCGGCGATGGGGCCGTAAGGGGCCCAGACGGGGCGGCGATTGGGTCGTAAGGGGTCTAGATGGGGCGGCGACGAGGCCGTAAGGGGCCGTAAAGGCGCCGCGAGGGGGGGGTGGGGGCGACGGGCGTCGCGAGGGGCCGTAAGGGGCCGTAAGGGCGGCGCGAGGGGCCGTAGAGGGCGGCGCGAGGGGCCGTAAAGGGCGGCGTAAGGGGCGGTGAGAGGGGCCGCTAAATGCGACGGTAGGGAGGGCACACAGAGCGCGACTCGGGCAGGAGCGAAGCGCGCTCCGGGCAGGAAAAAAAATATCGTGGTGGGCCCTAGGAATCGTTCCCACTAGGGAACCTGCTCTGATACCATGATAAGAAACGAGCAATGAATGCATTGAGCAGAATGAGGAGTACAAGTAGTAAACCCTAAAGTGTTGTACCCTATATGAATTGCCTCACTACAGCCTACACAGACTATACCATATATGCCTGACAACACCCACCGAAGACAATTGGGTTCCCCTGGACAGAATCGAAAACCACCCAGGCCTCACCGAGTATCTGCGCAGCCGAAATTTCAGGGATGTACACGCACTTTCGTAAGGAGGACGGGGGTGTAGTGTAAGGAAAATTCCTTTTCCTTACTTCGCATCCCTGCTCACCGCGTACATCACTGTAGCACCACAGTCAGCACTGTTACCACTCGCAACCTTCGTATCGACAATCCGCCCGCCACCTTCGCACATCACACCCCGACCTCACGGCTCGGCGGGTAACCCGCGCTCCGAGCCTCCGCTTCGACACTTTTCCCAACCTCAGTCCCAGGCCCGTCGCGCGACAACCACATTCCATTACCGTTACCACTGTAGTTTCGCTACATATTCTTCGCTCATGCCTCCGCTCATTGTATTCTTGCTTCGATAGTGCAATTCTCGTTCGTTCACTCAATTGCACTCGTAACAGTCTGAGAACGGGTCTCGTAACGGTGCACTATAAGCCTGTTCAGTACAGTATAGGTTCGGAATGGTGGTAGGAAAAGTTTTTTACCCCGCCCCTGCAGCCACCTACAGTAGCACCACCTCCCTTCCCCCTTCACCTAGAAAGCTCATCAATTCGATAGGTGCTTCTTGGTTTTATAAATGGATGGTATCCCAGCAGCTCATAAACTCTCCTACATAATCTTTATGCAGTAAGAGCTTCTCAGTTTCCAGGCGTAGCTAGACCTCAGAGTTTGAACAGGCATAGCTAGAACTCGTAAATTTCAACTTTCAGAGGTGAAAAAACTGTGGTGTGTTTCAGTTTTATACCAATGTGGTACGTTCGGTGGCGGTTCGAACCGGAGCAGGTCGTAACTGTATGTACCACACCTTTTACCTCTTACGGACGTGCTCGAGGGCCTCAAGGGTCTCGCCTTCTGAGGCGCCTCAAAATTCGTTCGTGAACTACGCCTTAAGCTCGTTTGGACGTGCTCGAGGATCCCAAGGGTCCCTCCTTTTGAAGCACCTCAAACATTGTCTGAGAAACGCGCCTGAAGCTCTTATGGACGTGCTCGAGGATCCCAAGGGTCCCTCCTTTTGAAGCACCTCAAACATTGTCTGAGAAACGCGCCTGAAGCTCTTATGGACGTGCTCGAGGACCTCAGGGGTCGCGCTAGGAAAGCGGCAGAGCAGCTCTCGCTGCTGCTCTCCCCCGGCGTTTCACCCTCTCCTGCCCACCAAGCGACGGCGGAAAACGACAACCAGTGCGCTGGGCCAAATCAATCCCCGGGGAACCGCGCTAGCAGCAGACGAAGCGGAAGTAACGGCGCGAATGGCGCAGCAGCAGCAGGAGCAGGAACGGGCGCTGTCAGGAATGCCCGCTCGCGGAAAAAAGGGTCTGGACGGCGTTTGAATAAGGACGGGACGTATAGAAAAGGCTCGGGTGCAAGTCAGTCAGGGAGGCAGGAGAAGCAGAAGGCAGGACCGAGTGATGGCTCTGCTCTGGATGATGGCTCATGGCAGCGCGAGGTAGCGGAAATCGGTTCGTTTACAGCGCTATCCCCGAAATATTTCTCTCAAGAACCGTCACGCGGTGCTCGAAATTCGCGGTCAGCGACATCGTCGTCGTCGACTTCGCTATCGTCGCCAGCGCCGTCGTCAGCTCACTCGCCGTCGCCGTCTCCGTCGTTATCTTCTCCCTCCTCCTCCCCCGCTTCCCCTTCTCTCAACCCTCGTCTATTCCCACCGCGCTCCGCGTCCTTCCCCGCTCTCCTTCCGCCAGCCCTCTCCCAGGTTCCTTCCCCCGCAATTCTTCCGCGTTCCGCCTCTCCGCGGGGAAATCCTCCCGCTCCCGAAGCAATATCTTCCCCGGCGTCTCCCGCGGTAATTAGGTCTTTATTCGAAGCTCCGCAAAAGTCTTTTCCCGGGCGGGAGCTGGTTCGCGGGCAGCCTTCGCGGCACAGCCTGTTGCACCGGCTGGCGTCTAGGGTTTCGCGTCCTGAGGGGAGCTCTGAAGGAGCGGACGGAGAGGAGAACGAGGCAATTCCGAGGTGGGACGGCGGATGGGAGAGACGGCACGGCAACTCTGCCGGCTGGGCGGCAGCGGACGGCAGCTCTGACGGAGGACGCGGGATCCGCGTCAAGTCGGAGAATGAGAGCTCGCCATTGGTGGAGGCGGATTCGGCCAATGAGAGAGTCCAAATTCTGGTGCTGAGAGGTCCGGAGGGAGGGGTGATAGGCTCGGGAGGGGATGCGAGAGGAAAGAAGGGAGCAGCGTCAGAGCAGGGGAGAAGAGATGGGGGAAGGGGAAGGGGAAGTGGAGATGGTGGGGGTGGTGAAGAGACGTTGATTCAGCAATGGAGGCGGCTTCGGCAGAAGCAGCCTGCACAGCAGCAAGTGCCTGAGCACCAGCAGCAGCAGCAGCAGCGGTTTTATAATGTGCACAGTAGGAGGGTTTTTGAGGATGAACGGCAAGTTACATCTGTAGATAAGCGTATTCTTTCTGTGGACCGGCCTATTGAAGCTGGAACTGAAAGTGCAGATACAGATGGCCTGGGGCTCTTGCAAAAGTGTATCAGGCAGGTCTCGAGCCTATTACCGAATCAGGGCTGTAACGAGTACGAAGACTCCAGGCCCACTAGGGAGCTCGCGGTGTCATCTAGAACCCGTTTTAGAGATTCTCTTAGCGAGGACAGAACAACAGAGGCTCTGGAAGAGGCTGGGGTGGGTCGTACCCCCAGTAGAATGGGGTTATTTCGCAGGTTGCCCCTTGGCCTGGGGAGGTGGAGAGAGGGTGCGAATGCAGAGGAAGTGCGGGCGGGGATGGGAGCAGCGGAAAGACTATGGGGCAGAGGCGCAGAGGCGGAATCAGGGCAAGGAAATAGGTTGGGGATGGGGATAGGCGGGCTGAATACGCAGTTCGGACGATCTACAGCCTCGTTCGCGAGAAGAAGAGCAGGAGGAGGAGCAGGAGGAGGAGGCGGAGGAGGATTTGGAGGAGGGGGATTTGGATCAGGAGGAGCAGGAGGAGCGGGGTTAGGAGCAGGGGCAGGGGGGAGGATATCGGTCACGCAGCTGCGTCAGATGGTAGAGGCCAATCCCGAGGCGTTTCTGCGAGCCTTTGACCACGTGGCGAAACGAGTAGAGGCCGCGCGCAAGAGACGCACGGTTACGGTTACCAGCAAGTACAACTCGCGGACGGACATCCTCCGATCGGCACTCTCGTTAGACATCCCGTCGCTCTCCCCCTTCCCGTTCCCGCTCCCGTCCCTCCCTCACCTTCCATTCTTCTCCTCCCCTTCTCCCAACTCCTCCTCCTCCTCCCCCTCCTCCTCCTCTCCCTCCTCTTCGACTTCCTCCTCCCCTCCTTCCTCCCGTCCCTCCTTCCCTCTCCGCATCAGAGCAGTGGCGGAGGGTCGACCCTCCGCGCCCTTCACCCGCTTCTCCATCGCCCCGGAAATCGGCCCCTTACGCTTGAGATGGGACCGGCCGCGCCTGGTCCCCTCCTTTGGAGCCACCCTGCATTCGGGCGACAACTCCCTCGTGCAAATCTTCCATGACCTTCAGGTGCGTGCGTTGGCTGCTTACCAGGTGTTTTTAAGCAGAGGGGCGACCCTCTGCGCCCGTCACCCGCTCCATCGCTTCTGCATTCCGGGGACAACTCCCTCGTGCAAATCTTTCCACGACCTTCAGGTATGTATGTTGGCAAATGCCCATGTGTTTCAAAGCAGAGGGTCGGCCCTCCGCACCCTTCACCCGCTTCTCCATTGCTCCAGAAATTGGTCCTCTCCGTTTTAAGATGGGACCGGCCCCGTTTGGTCCCTTCCTTTGGATCTACTCTGCATTCCGGGGACAACTCCCTCGTGCAGATCTTCCATGACCTTCAGGTGTGTTGACATGTTGTTGGGGTGATGCACTTCAGGTGTGTCGGTTTTCTTAACTACCTTCGTTAGGGTTCCTTTGGACAACTCCCTCGTGCAGATCTTCCATGACCTTCAGGTGTGTCGGTTTTCTTAACTACCTTAGGCACCATGGAAATCGGCCCTCTCCGCCTGAGATGGGACCGGTCCCGCCTCGTCCCCTCCTTCGGAACCACCCTGCATTCTGGCGACAACTCTCTCGTGCAAATCTTCCATGACCTCCAGGTGTGCTGACATGTTGTTGTGGTGATGCACTTCTTGCCTGGTCCTTTCTGACGCGCCGAGAAAAACCATTTTCTTCCCTTCCCCCCCATCCATCCATGCCAGGAGCAGCCCAGCCATCGCACAGCGCTCATAGTGGGATGGTGGGCTCGCTCCATGGCCTACCGATGGCCCACCAGGTTGAAAGTGCCTCACTATTCATCTGCTCCTCTTCCCTCCCTTCCCTCCCGTTCTAACAGTAACGGCCCAGCCATCGCACGGCGCTCATGGTGGGGTGGTAGGTTTGATCCATAACCTTTATAACTTTGTTGGCCTGAAACTATTAGAATGGACCTGACTGATTGAAATCTATCCCTCCCTTCCCCTCATGTCCATGCCAGGAGCGGCCCAGCCATCGCACAGCGCTCATGGTGGGATGGTGGGCTCGTTCCCTGGCCTACCGATTTGGGTTCTGAGATGCCTTAATATTTGTATGCTCTGATTCCCCCCCCTCCGATCCATGCCAGGAGCGCCCCAGCCATCGCACTGCGCTCATGGTGGGATGGTGGGCTCGATCCATGGCCTACCGATTTGGGTTCTGAGATGCCTTAATATTTGTATGCTCTGATTCCCTCCCTCCCATCCATGCCAGGAGCGCCCCAGCCATCGCACTGCGCTCATGGTGGGGTGGTGGGCTCGAACCATGGCCTATCGGGCACTCCTCTCCCTCAAGCTGCCCGCCTGCCATGTGGTATGTGCTCGTATGTAGTATCCACGTTGTTCTTACTCTGATGTGTTATGCTCCATCCATGGCCTATCGGGCCCTCCTCTCCCTCAAAGCTACCCACTTGCCACGTGGTATGTTCCTGTCTCTTCCTGTCCCCTTCGCCCCAGCCACTGTCTACTGCTTCCATGTTCCCTTGTAATCTCTACCCATCTTTCCACATCCCCTCTGTCAGGGCATGCTGTGGGTTGACTTCCCCCGGGGGCGAGTTCCTGTTGAACCGGGTCAAGGGAGTCAATGCGAGTATCTTCCTTATTTCACTCTCCCTTCCCCTCAACTTACTATATTTCTCATCCTGTCAGGACATGCTGTGGGTTGACTTCCCCAGGGGCGAGTTCCTGATGAACCGAGTCAACGGAGTCAAGGCCAGTCTCTTCCTGCCATGCCACCCGCTGAGAGGAGTGCTGCAGGTGGAAGGGCGGACAGCAGACACGGCCACTGTGGGGTTTGCATACCAGGTAGGAATTGTTATTGTTTCTACCAGTTGGGGGATTGAACGGGAGGGGAGTGGTGGTACTTACTCTGTAAGGCGTGCTGCAGGTGGAAGGGCGGACAGCAGACACGGCCAACGTGGGGTTTGCATACCAGGTAGGAATTGTTATTGTTTCTACCAGTTGGGGGATTGAACGGGAGGGGAGTGGTGGTACTTACTCTGTAAGGCGTGCTGCAGGTGGAAGGGCGGACAGCAGACACGGCCAACGTGGGGTTTGCATACCAGGTAGGAATTGTTATTGTTTCTACCAGTTGGGGGATTGAACGGGAGGGGAGTGGTGGTACTTACTCTGTAAGGCGTGCTGCAGGTGGAAGGGCGGACAGCAGACACGGCCAACGTGGGGTTTGCATACCAGGTAGGAACTGTTATTGTTTCTACCAGTTGGGGGATTGAACGGGAGGGGAGTGGTGTTACTTACTCTGTAAGGCGTGCTGCAGGTGGAAGGGCGGACAGCAGACACGGCCAACGTGGGGTTTGCATACCAGGTGGGGTGGGATGGGAGGGGAATGAGTGCACTTGCTTTTCTAGGGGAGAGTACTGGCAGGAAATATTTGTCTACTGTGTGATAAGAGACGCCCGCACGGGTGATAAGTTCTTGGAATATTGTGTGTGTCCACTGTGTGCGTGTGTGACGCCCGCTACTCTTCCTTGCCTTCCCTTCTCGCTCTCCTTCCCTTAGCTTCTCTCTCCTTTCCTTCCCTCACCTTCCCTTCTCACTCTCCCCAGCACACCTTGGGAACGCGTGTGACGCCCTCATATTCTCTCGCCGATCGGGGACTGTCAGTGGAGGTGCTTCAGCCAATCACAGTGCGCCAGCTGGGACCCGCTGTAAAGCCAGAAGCTCAAATACGGTATGGCTGGGAGCACACCAGCTTTGATGCGTCAGTTAGTCTTAGAAGCAGCTTGTTAGTTGTTGTGCATCAACAGTAGAACATAAACTGTGTGTCATATTGGTGGGGGTTCATCTTTCAATTCTTTCGCACCTGTCTTGTTCTCATGTTTTTCGACTTGTTTTTGTAGTGGTTGTTTTGTCACTACTTGTTTGTCATCTTTGTGTTCACCTCTTTCCGTTTTACAATTTGCGGTCTCTCCTCTCAGGTTCAAAACCACAATGTCAGGCACGAGGCAAGGGTGGGAGATGGAGACCACACGGTTTCTGGGAACAAACGAGATAGTGGGGGGAGCAGCAGAGGCGTCTCAAGGCGGGCTGGCAGTCAGTGTGGGGTACAAGGCGGGGGTGGCACCTGTTGCCTTCTTTACTCTCTTCGTAAGCACTTTGAACCTCCTCTTGTTCGCTGGCCTTTTTTTACACGGTTTCTGCTGGGAACAAATGAGATAATGGGGGGAGCAGCAGAGGCGTCTCAAGGCGGGCTGGCAGTCAGTGTGGGGTACAAGGCCGGGGTCGCAATGTTGCCTTCTTCACCCTCTTTGTAAACACGTCACCTTTTACTCCTCATAAGCACCTAACAATTCCCTCTTCACAAGCACGTCACATCCTCGTAAGTGCATTTCAAGGCAGACTGGCCGCTGTGGCACCTGTTGCCTTCTTCACCCTCTTTGTAAGCCCATCGCTCCCTTGTTATACCGGTATGTTTGACTCTCAAGAAATATCCAGTCCATTTCTTCACAATTAGCGTTTTGCATTTTACGAAATGTTTTTCCCTTTTTTCTCCCCCCCCCCCCCCCCCCCCCTCTTTTTTTTTTTACTATCTTTCTGTCCTGGCATGGCAGGGAGGGGGTCGCAGGAGGCGGAAAACAGCAGTGACAGGCAAGGGAGCTGGTTACCAGCTGAGGCTGGAATTTCCGCCGTCCAATCTCAGACGAGCAGTCATCTCATGGGATGCCACCCATGGAATAGATTTCTAGTGTCAATACCTCGGAAAATAACAGCAGTGACGGGCAATGGAGCTGATTACCAGCAGCTTGACATCAAAATCAGGTGTGGTTCTGTTCTGGTGGTACGGTAGTATCCAGTCCAGGTATATCTGGGCATGGCTTACCCACCTAGCACCTGCACGTTGTTATGAAGCATGCCCGACACAAATCTGCTCGTGTGGGTCCGTCCAAACTAATGCACAGTACCGTAGTTGGAAAGGCTTGTAACATACCGTATCATGCATTATACTACTATGCCTAAAACATGGTACACGAGGATGCTACATCTGCTTGAAACAGCCCTTTAAAAACACCAACTGGTGGTCACACATTTGCACGTTTTCACCTTTGTCTTGAAAAACAACTAAACATGTGCATGCTTTACATCAGATATCGGCACCAACTTATCATGTTACCAGGTGCATGCATCAGTTCAGATCAGACTCCAAAGAGGGGACGCACGCAGGGGGCTTCATGGGTGGAGGGATGAGGGTTGAGTGCAGGGGAATGGGATGAGTGCAGGGGGATGGGATGAGTGCAGGGGGATGGGATGAGTGCAATGAGGAAAATGAAATTCACTGGGCAAAGGAGGGAGTAGCGCAGAGAGGAGGGTGAAAATAGATGGAGGAAATGAGGAATGGGCACAGGGGGGTGAGGGGAACGAAGGGTGAGTGCTGCAGGGGGGATGAGGGATGAGGGCAGGGGAGGGTGAGGGAATGGGGAATGGATGAGCGGAGGGGGAAAGGGTGGGGATGGGAAAGGGATGGGCTCAGGGAAAAAGGGTGGGCACCGGGGGTATGCAGGAGCACAGAGGGAATGAGGGACAAACACAAGGGGAATAAGGGGTGAGCGAAGGGGGTGAGGAATAACGGTGGGGGAACGAAAGGTGAGCGCAGGGGGGGGAGGTATCAGCGCTGAGTGAATACGGAGGAGCGCAGGGGGGCGAGGGGTGAGCGAAATGGGAAATGTGGTGAGGGCGAGTGACGGGGAGATGGGACGAGCGGAGGCAAGACGGAGTGAGGAGACAAGATTGCTGCCATGCAATGGCGAAAGGAGAGAGAGTAGGCGCAAGGACGGGGGGAGGGGGAGGGGAGGGGGCGGAAAGGGGGCGGGAAAGGGGCGGGAAGGGGGCGGGAAGGGGAACGGAGATTTTCGAAAATTCTCAGAACTCGCATCCGTGCTTCACTTCACGATGCCTCTGATTATAAAGTTCAGCAGTGTTACCTTCCATCGAAGAGCGCGTCAGCGGCGTCTAATAAGAAGACATTGAAGCCCGCGTCAGCAGCTGACGCGCTTCACACGGCCATGGCGTTTCTCGGTCTAGCTGTAAAAGGGACGAGACCGTCAGATCTACTTACGACGCGAAAATCAATCTTAAAACGGAAGTACAGATTTGCGTGACCGCTCTAGCATGAGCTCAACGAGCGGGATTTCACCCTCCGTCTAAAGTCCCTTCGCGAAGTGATGATATTGCGAGATAGACTTGTCGTTCCTACCTTCGAGAATAGTACGCATCTGAAACGTACTACCACCCTCAGCCACGGAACGTGCAAGGGTCGTCGGATCTGAACTGGAATCAACCTTGACGGCACCAGAAGCAAGTGCAAGTCATTCGAGAGACTAATCTAGGTTCTAAGGGCGAAGTCACCAAATTGTCAGATCTGAGGCAGGAAGCGAGAAGAGCAGCAACGTTGATAATACCGAGTGGGTAGCTGGTATACCAAACTGGACCCCGTTACGGTGACTTTCTATTTACCCTCGTTGTTCCGATTCCCCTGGTTTTATTACTGTTCCCCTGTCTTCTCATTTTTCTTTCGACTTTGATTCCCAGCTTTCCTTCCTCTCTCAGTTCTTCGGTCCCTCGATTTCCCTTTCCGATTGGTCTTTGAAGAGTTTTCCATCCAGCCAGTTCCATTTCAGCTGCCCAAACTTTGCAGGAATTTTTCTTCAATTTCCAGCTGCTGTTGCCGTCCCGTAACTCACGCAATAATCTGTCCATACTACTACCTAACCTGCCCGTGACTTGGAACCCCCTCGTAGGGCTGGCCCAATCTTATGAGCAAAGCCACACGCAATACAATGAGTCCAAAATACGCACGTAAGGGTTCAACAAAAGCCATAAATGTAAACACGGAGCAGCTACAAACGGGTATCCACGCCCCAAATGTTCATCGCGCCAACCCTTCTGAACCCCACTCCCTGTCCAACCAATTTTCGCTGACATATGAAGTGCCAATCAACGGTGTGGCCGCGGCTCTCAGCGGAGGGCTCACTCTTCAATCCAAGTCGTTCACATTTTGCGGCGCAATCTACCACCCTCAATTCACCACTTTCAAAATCGACCGCGAATCGCAGGGCAGCACCACACCTCTCGTCGAGGCACATTCACAAACTCTCGCTCAATATATCACCCCATTCATTCTGACTCCTCCGGACGCCAAACGTAGCCGAGCTGGTGATTTTGGCGTCTCGCACGGCCATCGGCGGACGACATGAGATTACATTGACGCCGTTCAAAATTACCGGCGGCGTTTTACCACCCTCGATTCCAAATCCCCATAACTTTTCAGAATTATTCACCGCGATTCGCACAGACAGCACCATGCCTCTCAAGGTACATTGACAAATTCTCCCACAAGTACATCAACCCGGTCATCCTGACTCCGCCCGACGCCAAAGAATGCTGAGCTGATGATCTTAGCGGTCCCGCATGGCGGTGGACGACACGAGATTGCATCGAGGCCGTTCATATTTTAGCGGCGGCATTTGGCTACCTTCGATTCCCGCACCTTATCCTCACAAGAGATTTCTGTATGATCGACCGCGATTCGCACAGGCAGCACCATCACACCTCTCGAGGCGCATTCCCAAAAGTTGATCCCATCATATCACTTTAGTCGTTCTGACTCCTCCAGACGCAAGAAGATGCTTTTGGCGGTCTATCAAGGCTGTCGGCGAACAGCGGGAGATTGCATCGAGGCCGTTTAGAATTAGCGGCGGCAATCTGCCACCCTCGATTCCCGATCCCCATCCTTACCAGAGATTCCATCCCAATGATTCGCGCACACGGCACCACCTCTCACACCTAAACCTTCTCCAGTCAACTAGCTCAAGTAACCACTAAATATCCATTCCAACTTCATTCAGTCGAAAAACTCACTATCGTCGACGATAATTTCTTTTGAGGAGCACCGGAAAGCCCGAGTCAGCCAAAGGCATGCAGCAGAGCGTGTGTGCGCTCGCAGCGTCGCGCGTAGGTTCGCAGCATAGGCGCGCAGCATCGCAGCGCAGCGTCGCAGCGCAGAGTCGCAGCATAGGCTAGCAGCGCACGCTTTGCTACATGCTTCTGGCTGATTCGTGTGCCTCGATGGTGCTCCTCTCCTCGCCTCCCTTTTCCGAACGTGTCTACTAGCCTCAATTTGAGTAGATCGGAACGCTGCGTAACTTGAAGACAGTCCAAGACCGCTGTTATTTTGAAGACATTTGAGGATATTTTTCACTTGAAGAATTCAACGCGCCGCGAGCTTCCAGGATAAGGATTTCGTGCTTTACTGTTTTTTTTTCTTTCGGCGGGCCTTACGATAATCGTTTCTATAATTGACAGATCGTAAGCTTGTCTTCAACTCAAGCTCCAGCGCCGCGAGGACTTCAGAAGACTTGGAGGCTTCACAAGATCAAGACGGCGCCGCGACAACATCATCGCGTCGCGATCTGCACGTCATCGCGGCAAGGGTGAGTTTCTCTACCTATGTCGTTTTGTCGCGCTTTGTCGTGCTATTCTTGTCTTTGTTCTTCCTGTTCTTTCTGTTCGTGCTTTCATATTGTTTTAGTCTTGTTTTCATCTTGTTTTCATCAGTTTTACTAACGTTTTTTTCGTGTTTTAGTGCGCAGGTTTCGTGGAGGGGAGGCCGCTGGAGCTATCATTTTTTCCCTTCTGTCTCTCTCTCTGTCTTGTCTCCTCAGGCTGAGGAGGAGGACAACGGACGGGAGGTCGTGGCTAACCAAGGGTGAGTTTTACTAACTATGTCGTTTTTGTCGCGCTTTCTCGTGCTTTTCTTGTCATTGTTTTTCCTGTTCTTTCTGTTCTTGTTTTTATCTTGTTTTCATCAGTTTTACTAACATTCTTTCGTGTTTCAGTGTGCAGGTTTCGTGGAGGGGAGGCCGCTGGAGCTATCACTTTCCCTTCTGTCTCTCTCTCTGTCGTGTCTACTCAGGCCGAGGAGGAGCACAACGGACGGGAGGTCGTGGCTGGAGGAACGAAACCAAGGGTGAGTTTCTCTACCTATGTCGTTTTTGTCGCGCTTCGTCGTGCTTTTCTTATCATTGTTTTTCCTGTTCTTTCTGTTCTTGTTTTTATCTTGTTTTCATCAGTTTTACTAACGTTCTTTCGTGTTTTAGTGTGCAGGTTTCGTGGAGGGGAGGCCGCTGGAGCTATCACTCTTTCCCTTCTGTCCCTCTCTCTATCTTGTCTCCTCAGGCCGAGGAGGAGCACAACGGACGGGAGGTCGTGACTGGAGGAACGAAACCAAGGGTGAGTTTCTCTACCTACGTCGTTTTTGTCGCGCTTTGTCGTGCATTTCTTGTCATTGTTTTTCCTGTTCTTTTTGTTCTTGGTTTCATTCATCAGTTTTACCAACTTTTTTTCGTGTTTTAGTGCGCAGGTTTCGTGGAGGGGAGGCCGCTGGAGCTTTCACCGTTTTCTCCCTCTCCTTCCGTTCCAGACCATGGCGGAGGAGCAGACGAACGGCACGGCACGGCACGGCACTGCTCGGCACGGCACTGCTCGGCACGACACTGCTGAAGGGTGAGAGTTAGTAAGGTACGCGGGTGGCGAGTAGGAGTAGGAGCGACGACGGGGTAGCGAGTAGGAGTAGGAGCGACGACGGGGTGGCGAGTAGGAGTAGGAGCGAACACGTGGTACAGGTATTTAGATGCGACGCGCGCTTGTGGTACTTGTGGTACAGGTTCGAGGTGGGGGTGGTTGGGTTGGTGTGCATGCAGATGGGTTTCCCATCTCAGCTTTGTGGATAGTATGGATGCATACAGATGGGTTTCCCATCTTCAGCAGCTGTGGAGCATCCCCGACTCGAGGCGCCTTCAACCTGACATCTGACATCCGGATATTTGAGGTGGTTCTCTGCCCGGTGGCGGGACAATCTGAAAGTTTTGCCCCTGTTTCCCACAGGTGTCCCGTACGAATAACCCCCACCTCAACGTGGTGTACGGGTGAAACGCTAGGAGCTTGCTCCTAGCGGCCAAGAGGGGTCAGACCGAAGTGGCGAATTCAGTTGAAGAGCAGCGTCGAAGGACCTTAGCGTTGTAGTAGTAGTTTCACCATTCCCTTGTTTGCACTCTATTTTATAAGTTCGTTTTGTGACGTTGATTTTGTATGAAACGTGTATAGTTAAAAAAATTGCTGGTCCCCTTGTACTTCGCACTTCGTAATCACCAAACAGGAAAACAATATCCACGCAGCAGTAGTGAAGAAAACAAAATCCACCGAAGAAATCCTGCCCAGGGAAACGCTCTCAGTAAAAAATAGAGTTCCCCCTCCCTGGAGCTTTTCGGGTCGCACCTAGAACAGTGTCAGGCGAACAAATCTCGCAGTTCAGTCCTCCATCCCGCCAAACCGTTTCGCGGTACGGTTCTCTGCCATTTGATGCGATGTGCTGTCTGATGCTCCACCATCGCTGTTCACTGAAATTCGTGTCCGTGTTACCAGCTCTTTGAAGTTTCGTTGCTTCGATACACAATCGCAAACTGTTTCGCAGGCGGAACTCAGCATTTTGTGCGATCGGCTGGGCACCCCAGTGGAAAGCACATCTATGTCAGGAAATACAAATTTGCCACGAAAACAGAATTGTTATTCAAACTTCAAACCCTCTCTTTCTCATTATCGCGTACGTCATACCTCCAGAGAATTAGAACGAGACTCCAACATCCTTGGCGGTCTTACCACCATGGCGATTTCATGAAGTTTTAGAAAGCACCGCTCTGATGGCTGACGCACTGCGTCACAGGCAGGACCGCGCTGATTTGACCAACATCATTTAGTAGCTTTCTTGTTCGAAATCCACCCCTAAATATGGCGTACCTTTTCCCTTCGCAAGTCGTTTCGATTCGCCCATTGAGAGCTGTGCGGCCTGATGATGGTCGCGAGTTGCCTCTTAGAAACTTGAAAATTCCGCTCAAACATCTCAATCTACCTCCATCGAAAGCGGCTCCCAGGGTTCGAACCCGTGACCACAGCCTGACAATCAAGTGTGACGCTGGAAAACCCGTCAGACCAGCAGATCTTTCAACGGCTGAGATCGCATTTGTGGAAATCGAGCCGTCGCTGCCTATTGATACAGGGATTGAGACGCGTAAATTGGGGGAAGAGGAGGGGGAGAGCAATGGCGGCAAAGGGGAGAGCAACGTGAGGCCAGTGAGGGGCGAAGAGCCGGGGGATAGGGGGAGTGGGGATAGGGGGAGCGGGGATAAGAGGAGCGGAAGGAGAGCAGAGAAAACGAGCAGAGGGGGGGAAAGTTGCGAAGAAGAGGAGGCAGTGGCAATTATTGCGAGAGTGCTAAGAGGGAAATTTGGGCCTCAGATTGTTCGAGAGGAGGATGGAGGCGGAAGCAGAGAGGGCGGAAAGGAGATTAAGGAGGGAGGGGAGGAAAAAGAGGTAGAGGAGGCCGAGAGAGTGAAAGAGGAGGAAGGGGTACCGGTCTGTGAAATGGAGGACGGCGAGGGGAGAGAGGACGACATAAAAGCAGAATTCAGCGAGGAGGAATTACCAGGTAGCACGTCTTTCTTCACACCTGCAATGCCACTCAAGGGAGCACGTGCAACCTCTCCCTCCTCCCTCCTCTCCCTCTACCGCTTCTTCTCCTCCCACCTCGGCATCTCCTCCCCTTCCACGGTCGCTTCCCTCCTCGCCTCCCACCCTGCCCTCCTGCGTTCCGATCCGGCCAGTGACCTGCTGCCACGTGTCCGGCTATTGCAGTCGTATGGCATATCCCAGGCCACCATTGTCCACGTCACCATCACGAATGCGTCTTGGCTCCGAAGCTCCCTTCCGCAAATTCAGGGGACGATTGAGTTTATTCTGGCTCGGGGCGTGCGCCGAAGCAAGCTAGGCATGGTGATCCGGGGTTCGCCGTACCTCATCCGCTCGCATGCTCGTTCAACGAACCTGGACATTTTGGTGGAGGCAGCAGGGATTCCTGAGGAGAAGCTGGGTGTGATTATAGAGAGATGCCCAAATATCTTATGTCGAAGTGAAGAATCCATACAGGATCAAATCAAGCTGCTGTCAGACTACTTGTCAGATGGATTCGAAGAGAAGGGGACAGAAGAGGATACCAGCAGCAGCACAGGACACCTGAAGCAGCACCTGAAAAAACACAAGAATCGGCAACGTCTGGACAAAAAGATCCTCCTGACGAGGCTTCTCCTGAACTACCCACGAATCCTCCTCTCTTCTTCTGATCGCATCTCAGCCAATCTCAGCCTTCTCCAGTCCTTCACTCCCCCTGATAGCCCCTCCATTGCCATCCCTGTTCTCCGCCACGCTCCTTCCATCCTAAACCTCGGTTCGGAGAATCTTTTAGCTAAGCTCCAGTTCTTTGTGGAGCTGGTCGGGAAAAAGGCAGCAGGGAGGGTGGTTAGTAGTCATCCGCTGGTTTTGACTCTGTCTAAGGAGAATTTGGAGGGTAAGGTGGCGGTTCTGAGCGGTTTAATTGGCCCGGAGAATGCTGCGCTCGCAGTGGCGCGATTCCCACTGCTGCTGACTTCTGGGGAAGAGACCATGAAGCAGAACTATGCAGAGCTTTTGAGGGAGTTTCAGGAGGCGTTGGAAGGGGGAGGAGGGGATGAGGGTGGGATTGAGGGACTGGAGGCAGGTGGGATTGGTGAAGCGAAGGAGGGGGATGGAGAGTATAGGTCTCAAAATGGAAAACAAGAAGGTATATCCGGTGTGGGTGAAGGTTCTGTGAATGGAGTGGAGGAGTTAGCACGTAAGCTGGTGATAAATCTGGCTGTGAAGTCCCCGCAATGCGTTTACTACAGCTGGGATGGGAACATGAGGCACAAGGTGGAGTACTTGAAGCGGGAAATGGGGCTCTCTATAATGGAGGTGCTTGCCTTCCCTCCATTCCTGGGGTTTAACCTGGATCGGCGAATCAAGACGCGACATGCGGCGCTGCTGCAGTTGGGCTACGACGTTGTGTCCAATAAGACTGTGGCTCTTCAGAAGCTCAGCAGCAATCGGAAAGGGGCTGCGGACAAAGATGAGGAGAGGGGAAACCGAGATGAGGACGTGGACGGGAAATTGAAGAAGGGTTTGGCAGATGTGGGGAATGGGGAAGATGAGTGGCAAGAAGAGGAGGCTGATGAGGAGAGTAATGAGCTTCTGGTGAGACCGCATGAAGGTAACGACGAGCCAAGAGGAAGAGGCAGATTTGAGAGTCAAGTAATGGCACAGGAGCAACAACCTAAGAAGCGGGTGTGCTTGTCTCAGTTCCTTAGTTGTACTGATAAGCGCTTTGAGGAGAAATTTATGACCAAAGTTTAGGAGGTAGGAGGACTATCACTACATTTGCACGGTTTTTTTTCTGTTTTAGGCTCAGCTCAGCATTTTTCAAGAAATTGTTGTAAAAGATCTGGTGCTCGTGTGAAATATTGCACGTAAATTCATTAATCTGGCGTGTGCCCCATCGATCTCAATGAACGGGTACGAATCTGAAACGGCACAAGCCATCTCGCGGCCTTGACAGGCGAACACACAAGACTTTTCGCAAGTGTGGCAACCAGTCGTCGCTTCTAAAGAAATGGGCTGACGAACACGCAGGAATCTTCGCATGGGACAACTCATTGTCGCAATGCACTCGTGAAAGGAGACTGCATTGATGCGCCAGCGATGGTTACCCCAGCACGGTATTCCCAGTGCTGGCAGTGGGAGGATCCATTTTTTTCACTCATCTGGATTCACCATGGTCCTTCAATCAGAGCACTTCTCTGTTGTTCTCTTGGGTTTGTTTTGTGAACTAGCTTCTAGCCTGCGAGATGTCTGCAGGCAGCAACTGGAGAAACTATCAAGACGAGACGGTTTTCTCTTTTCTGCTAGTCACTTCAACAATTCGGGAATCAGGAATCACTACTGATGGTCGTCATAGGACAAACACTTTAGGCGTATAAGTCGTTCATGTAGTCCATCATCCGTTTCGTTGCATCTATCGGCTATTCGATATGGCGTATCGTAGAACGTCTCGGCCATCCATAGCGTGGATTAACAGATTAAGATTTTCATCGAGATACATCACGCAGTCTTCGATGCCTTGTTCTAAGCCATTCTCAGAGAAGCCTGGACTGGCACCCACAGCTGGTATTCCATCCCAGCCGAACCTCTACCGGTTTGGGCTAAACCGACACCCTGCACAGAACGCATTCAACAGAATTCGAACTCCTGACCGGAGCTTCACTATAATCTGTTCCGTTGGGTCGTTGGCAAGATCAGCCGAGGTTCTCAAGGCGGAAAGCGCGAGCGTGCGATGCGATGTAACTCTTGATTCGCATGAGCATGTTCCAGACACGGAAAGCGCGAACGTGCGATTCTATCCGCCCTTCGATGGCAAGCCAGTACCAGCGGTTGGGACGGAGACTCGGATGCGTACAGATGGAAGAGAGGAGGGAGAGAGTGAGGGAGGAGAGTCAGAGAAGAGTGAGAGTGGAGTGGGAAGAGGGGAGGTGTACGGCAGAGGAGAGCGTACGAGACGTGAGACGAGAGAAAGGAAATTGGAGGAAAAGGTTGAGGCAGGCCGGTGGAAGCGTGGAGGGAGAGGATTATGCAAAGCGACAGAGGAGGAGGAGGCAGTGGCAATGATTGCTGAATTTTTGAGAGAGAAATTTGGGCCTCAGATAGTGATAAAGGAGGAGGGGGGTTCAATAAACGGAAGGATTATGGATCAGGAGGAGGATAAGGGACGACAAGAAGAGGAGGAGGAGGAATATGGGGATGAGGAAACAGAGGGTTCAAAAGTAGAGGAGGAAGATGGTGGGGAAGGGAACGAGGGGGAGGACGCAGCAGTAGTAGCAAAGGAGGAGGTCGGATCACCCATCACATCTCCTCCCACACGCCCTCCTCCTCCACGCAACGGCCCTCGGGCCGTATCTCCCTCCTCCCTCCTCTCCCTCTACCGCTTCTTCTCCTCCCACCTCGGCATCTCCTCCCCTTCCATTGTCGCTTCCCTCCTCGCCTCCCACCCTTCGCTCCTTCGGTCTGATCCCACCAATGACTTTCTGCCACGTGTCCAGCTTCTCCAGTCTTATGGCGTATCCCGTGCCGACACCTCAGCCATCACCATGAAAAACGCTTACTGGCTCCGACTCTCCCTTCCCCAGGTTCGGGATATGCTTGACTTTCTCTTGGCTCGAGGCATTCTCCGAACCAAGCTAGGTGCGGTGCTTCGAAAGTCTCCATATCTCATCGGCGCACGAGCTCGTTCAACTAACCTGGACATATTGGTGGAGAGAGCAGGGGTTCCTGTGGACAAGCTGCCTGTGATTATAGCAAGAGGACCAGATATTTTATATTTGCGTGAGGAAGTCATAAGAAGTCGCCTCGAGCTACTATCAGCGTATTTTACCAATGGATGCGAAGGAGGAAACTTCAGCAGCGGGCATCCGAGGCAACACCTGAATATGCAGCACAAGGACAAGAATCACCTGAGCAGACTCCTGGTGCGGTACCCAGCTATCCTCCTCAATCCTCACGAGCGCATCCCTGAAATCCTCAGTCTCCTCCAGTCCTTCACTCCCCCTGACAGCCCCTCCGTTGCCATCCCAATTCTCAGCCAGGCCCCCTCTCTCGTCCACCTCAGCTCTCAGACTCTTTTATCTAAGCTCCAGTACTTCGTGGGAGTGGTGGGAAAGAAGGCAGCAGGGAGCGTGGTGCGCAGCTACTCGTCGATTCTTATTCTATCGGTAGAGAACATGCGGGGCAAGGTGGCATTGCTGGGCGATCTGATTGGTCGAGAGAACGCCGTGCTTGCTGTGGCTAGGTTTCCTAGGCTGCTGTCATCTAGTGGTGAGAACATTCAGATGTGTTTTAGAGAACTCGTGCGAGAAGTGGAGGCAGCAATGGAGGAGAGTGGAGGAGAGGAGGTGAGGAGGCAAATGCTCGAGGAAGGTGCAAGGAAGCTAGCAAGCGGAGGGAGCGGACGAGCATTCAAGAGCATTGCTGGTGCCACGATAGCTCATGAGATGGTGGTGAACCTGGTGGTTAAGAATCCAGCAGTTATCTGCTACAATTGGGAGTGGAACACAAGGCACAAGGTGGATTACTTAAAACGGGACATGGGGCTCCCTGTAACGGAGGTCCTTGCGTACCCGCACTTCCTTGGGTACAGCCTCGATCAGCGAATCAGACCGCGACATCTGGCGCTGCTGAGCAAGGGCTACGTGCTCGTGCCGCATGAGGTGGCTCTGCCGAATAATAGGGGAGAAGGGGGAGGGAAATTGGAGGGAGTTAGTAGCGAGAGGAGGGCAGAAGGGAAGGATGAGGATGTTAAAGTGGATTACGGGGAGGATGAGGGTGAGATGGATGAGTTGGGGGTGAGGATGGTTGAGTGTCAAAGTGTTTTGGATTCTACGCAAGACAGCTCTGACGTGTTGGGGAGAACGGGTGCTGCGAACGGGTGCGGCATGAATCAACAGCAGGGAAGGGAGGCGCTGTGCTTGATTCAGCTGCTTAAATGCACAGACAAGGAGTTTGAAAAGAGATTCAAGGTTGAGCTTGCACCGTTCATGCCGGAAACTTGTCCCTAGTCGGGCTTTTGAGGCGCCTAAAAAAAGGGGGCGGTGTGCTTGGTTCTGTGCTTGTTTGCCCAGACAATGAATTCGAAAAGAGTTTCAAGGTTGAGATTTGCACCGTTCATTGCCAGACGCTCATCCCTAGTCAGTCAGGCTTTCAAGCGCCTCAAAAGGGAGGCGGTTTGCGTGATTCAGTTGCTTAAATGCAAACATATAGTTTGAAAAGAACTTTCAGGTTGAGATCTCGCTGTTCATGTCGGGTTTATTGAAGCATTTGTACCAAACGGGTACGAAAATGAAACGGCAACACACGGACTTGACAGGCGAACACGCACGACATCGCAATTGGAGCAACCAGTCGTCGCTTGGATACATTGGGGCTAGCGAAGAACACGAAACTCGTGAAAGGTGAGTAATTGATTCGCCAGCCTAGATGATCGCAGCTCGGTTATCCCAGTGCCTGCAGCGAGTGAGACCAGAAAACTATCATTCTCTGATTCGTTCTGTTTGCAACTGCCATTGCCTACTCCCAGATTTCTGACTCAAAAAACAGGTTGTTTACTTGTGCCTGTATCCTAAAGATCTGCTGAAAGTGAGCGACATGACTGCCGCCTGTGAACTGGAGTAACCATGGATACGAAACGCTTTTTTAATTCGTTAGCTTTCTAGCAGTCACTGCAACGATTAGAAAAAACGCTATTGATAATCGGTAATCGGTCAAGCACCACAGCCGAATAACTCGCTCATGTAATCTTTCATCCTTTTGGTTACATCCATCGGCTAGATATGGCGTATCGTGTCTCTAGGTCACGGCCATCCATCCCGTGGATTGACAGATTAGGTTTTACGTTAAGATACATGACGCAGTCTTCTTCGCCTCGTTCCAAGTCATTTTTAGAAAAATCTGGAATGGCATCAACAGCTGTTATTCCTTCCCCGTCGAGCCTCTACCTGTTTGGGCTAAGTCGACACCAACCTGCGGAAAACGCATTCACCAGGATTCGAACCCCTGACCGGAGCTTCAATATAAGCTGTTCCGTTGGTTCGTTGGCCAGAGTAGGAGTGGTTCACGAGGCGGAGAGCGCGACTCTGCGATTCGAACCGAGCTTCGACGACGAGCCAGTACTGCCGGTTGGGACGGAGGCTCGGTTGCGTGCAGAAGGAAGAGATGAGGGAGAAAGTGAGGGAGGAAAATCAGAGAAGAGCGGGAGTAGATTGACAAGAGCAAGGGAAGTGGAGGACAAGGTTGCGGGAGGCGGGTGGACTGGAGAGAGGGGAGGATGCAAGGAGACAGAGGAGGAGGAAAAGGCAGTGGCTATGATTGCCGGAGTGTTAAGAGAGAAATTCGGGCCCCAGATTGTGACAGAGGAGGAGTACGAGGGGTCTACAAACGAAAGGATTACGGACCAGGAGGAGGCCAAGGGACGACAGGGAGAGGAAGAGGTGGGGTATGGGGGTGGGGAAAGAGGGGGCGTGGAAGCTGAGAGCGAAGAGGATGAGGAATGGAAGGAGGGGGAAGACGCAGAACCAGAAGCAGAATTGGAAGCAGAAGCAGAAGAAAGTGAGGAGGACGCACCACCCACCACGTGTCCTCCCAAACGGCCTCCTCCTCCATACTATGGCCCGCGGGTCGTATCTCTCTCCTCCCTCCTCTCCCTCTACCGCTTCTTCTCCTCCCACCTCGGCATCTCCTCCCCTTCCACTGTCGCTTCCCTCCTAGCCTCTCACCCTGCCCTCCTGCGTTCCGATCCCACCAGTGACCTGCTGCCACGTGTCCACCTCCTCCAGTCGTATGGCGTATCCCGTCCCGACATCTCAGCCATCACCATGAGAAAATCTTCCTGGCTCCGACTCTCCCTTTCCCACCTTCAGGAAATGCTCGACTTCCTATTGGCTCGGGGTGTACGCCGTACGAGGCTAGGATCGGTGCTCCGAAAATCTCGAAATCTCATTAGCGTGCGGGCTCGTTCAACGAACCTGGAATTTTTGGTGGAGAGAGGGGGGGTTCCTGTGGACAAGCTGGGTTTGATTATAGACAGAGCCCCAGATATTCTATCCGCGAGGGAGGAGACCATACATAGTCGCCTCGAGCAAATATCAGCGTTTTTTACCACTGGATCCGGAGAAGGAAACGTCAACAGTGGGCACCTGAGGAAACACCTGAATGGGCAGCACGAGGACAAGAATCACCTGAGCAGACTCCTGGTGCACTATCCAGGAATCCTCCTCAGGTCTTCCGAACGCATTGGCAGCATCCTCCGCCTCCTCCAGTCATTCTCTCCCCCTGACAGTCCCTCCATTTCCCTCTCCATTCTCCGCCGTGCCCCCACTCTCGTCCACCACAGCTCGCAAAATCTCTTAGCTAAGCTCCAGGGTTTAGAGAAGCTGCTGGGGAAGAAGACAGTAGGGATTGTGGTGAGAAGCCACCCTTCAGTTTTGAATCTATCTTTCGAGAACTTGCAAGGCAAGGTGGCGTTGTTGGGCGATTTGATTGGTCAGGGGAATGCCGAGCTTGCAGTGGCACGGCATCCTTTAATTCTGACGTCTAGCGAGGAAAATTTCAGAAGGAATTTCAGAGAGCTTGTGCGAGAAGTGGAAGAGGCATTGGAGAGCGGTGGGGAAGCAGGAAGTGGAACGCAAAGGCTGGGGGAAGGGGCATTGAAGCATGATGCAAGAGAATATGCGGAGCAAGGGGGGAGCGGTGCTGAAATCCCAGCTAAGACTACGAGCTGGGCTGAAGCAAGCGCAACCGCACGGGCAGGAGAAAGACGAGGCTTCAAGAGCATTGCTGGTGCCACCACAGCTTGTGAGCTTGTAGCAAATCTGGTGGTTAAGTTCCCGAATTCTATCTGCTTCAGTTGGGAGAGGATCACAAGTCATAAGGTGGAATACCTAAAGCGGGACATGGGGCTCCCTATAACGGAGGTCATTAAGTTCCCTTTCTTCCTTGGGTACAGCTTGGATCGGCGAATCAGGCCGCGACATGTGGCGCTGCTGAGCAAGGGCTATGTGTTCGTGCCGCATGAGGTGGCTCTTCCAGTAAAGGGCGGAGAGAGGGCAGAATATAAGGCACTGGAGGATGGGGAGGATGAGGGTGAGAAAGCTGAGTATGGGGTGGGGAAGCATGAGCGTGGAACTGCAATGGATCCTACCCAAGACAACTCTGTTGCGTTGGGGAAGAGAGGTGTGAGTTGGCAGCAGGAAAGGAAGGCAGTATGCTTGGGTCAGTTGCTTCTATGCTCCGACCACATATTCGAAAGGCGGTTTGATGTTGAGCTCGCACCGTTTTTGCCGTGAACTCATTCGCAGTCGGTTCTATTGAAACATTAAAACCGTCATCGCCCGGATATAAGACAGTGTTGAATAGTAGACAGGGGTTGTCTACTATACGGGTGTCTCTTATAAACAGGCTAGCCTCATCATAAGACACCTATTTGTGTGTACGAGATAAGACATGTATGTCTTATAATCGAAACTTCAATATATTATAGCGAAAGTTGAAATACCGCGTACGGTACATTTTTACCCTTGCGAAGCGCGAATTCTTCCACGCGCTGACCCAGGACCTACCAAATTTGCCTCTGCAGGTGTTCTCCATGACGTGGCGTCCCAGGCAGTGGTTGCCGAAGTGGCACCTTCGCAACATCCACACTCACTATGAGGAACTCTTTTTCAAGCAATACGGAAAATATTTCTAAGAAGTTTAAAAAGTTTCCATTTATAAGATTTATAAGACACCCTAAACCATCCCGTTTACAAGATAACGCAAGCATTTTTGCCCGTGTACGAGATAAGACATATATGTCTTATATCCGGGTGATGACGGAAATTTATGCTAGAAACTTATTCTACAAGCACCGTATATCTCCTGTACATATGGGCCGGGCACTGTATACTGACATACCAAAAGTACTGGTTAGAAATGCTAGGATGAACGCGAGAGATACCTGTAGGACGCACGTTTTCTGCACCCTCCCCCTTTCTGTGATGCATACTGCACGGCCAGGATACAGAACAGTTGTTGGATAACTCGAGCAGATTTCAAGCATTTTGGTATCGCTCTACAAGAGAACACTGATATGTAGGCTAACAAAATGTTTAGCAGCATCACTACAACATCAAATATTTCGAAAGGATGAACATCACAAGTTTCACCAGGAAATTCTATGATTCAGCCTCGACGAATTCCTCTTCAGTGGTTTCAACCTCCACACTGGCCGACCCAGTGACAACGGTGGTAGCAGCAGTGGTGATTGTGGTGCTGCTGGTGGTGGTGCTGCTGCTGGTGGTGGTGGTAACTGTCGTTGCTGTCACCTCTTCTGTCGCCACCACACTCTCCTCCTTCGCTTCAATCACCTCCTCTATAACCACACTGCTCTTCACACTCGTCCCCTCCTCAACCCCCTTACCAGACTCAGTCCCCCGCACCTTCCCCTGCAGCTTAGACACCGGCAGCAGCTTAGTAAACTCGGGGGTCTTTTTCCGGAGCAGGTAGGCAGAAGCCCAGTACCAGCCGAGCATGATCTGCACCTCCTTGCGCACGGATTTGGCCACGGAGCTATCGGAGAAGGAGAGGCGCTCCAACACCTGCTTGCCCGTGCTCAGATCTGTTGGCTTGGTTGCCTCAAAGGTCAGTCCGTCGAATTCGTTCACACACAGCGCCTCAAAGCCCCTGGTGGGATGGGAAGGATGGGGAAAGGGAAGGGCGTGGGAGGGGAGGGGCGGGGGAAGGAGAGGCGAGGAGGGGAGAGGGTGCGTGGGCTTGGTAGGTAAGCAGACGCCCAGTACCAGCTGAGCATGATCTGCACCTCCTTGCGCACGGATTTGGCCACGGAGCTATTGGAGAAGGAGAGGCGCTCCAGCACCTGCTTGCCCGTGCTCAGGTCCGTGGGTTTTCTGGCCTCGAATGTCAGCCCGTCAAACTCGTTCACACACAGCGCCTCAAAGCCCCTGGGGGGAAGAAGGGAAGGGCGTGGGAAGGTGTAGAGGCGCCTCAAAAGAGAAATATTTGAAACTCATTGCACACGGATATGTTGGAGGGATGACGGTGGCAGGGCTGAGAAGGGTGGAGGTACTTACCAGCGGATGAGGGAGGTGTTGGGGATCCAGCGGAAGATGACAGGCGTGTTGTCGGGATTGACAGAGTACCCTCCGAAGACGATGAAGACAGTCACGATGGAGGGGCCGAGTGCCATGGGTGGATGAACAGAGGTCCTATGAACCATGGGCATAAGGGCAACAGTACTTACCAGCGGATGAGCTCTTACCAGCGGATGAGGGAGGTGTTGGGGATCCAGCGGAAGATGACTGGTGTGTTGTCGGGGTTGACGTAGTACCCTCCGAAGACGATAAAGACCGTCATGATGGAGGGGCCGAGGGCCATGGCTGCCTCGACAGTGGGGGCGATGCACCCCACCGTGAGGCCCATGGCTGATGAGGTGAATGACTCCACCGTGGTTGCTCCCATGAACTTGAGGAACCTGCAGTGAGCGGAAGTGGGGTTTGGGGGGAGAACGGGGGGTTACTGGCTCGTGGTGGGGGCGATGCATCATGCGCTTCACTGTGAGGCCCATGGCTGGTGAGGTGAAGGACTCAACCGTGGTTGCTCCCATGAACTTGAGAAACCTGAAACCGGGGAGGATGGAGAGCCGGGTGAACGTGGGGATGGGGAGGGGAAGGGAGGGGGGGATTGGGGAAAGGATGGGTGATTGCTGTGGTGGGGGCAATGCATCATACTCCCCACTGTGAGCCCCATGGCTGAGAACGTGAAGTATAGTTGCACGGCAAAGTTGCATGGTAGCAATGTCTCTCACCTGGGTATAGTGCGGTGCAGACCGGTCATCGGGTAGCACACCACCGAGAACAGCGCGGGGAAAAACGCCGTCACGGGCAGCTCAGCCACCAGCTTGGAGAGAAAATACAGCCCCACCGCATACGCCCCTTCCGCCCTCTCCCTCTCTACTGAACGGGCCAGCATCATGCCTCTCACCTGGGTATTGTGCGGTGCAGACCGGTCATAGGGTAGCATACCACCGAGAACAGCGCGGGGAAAAAACGCCGTCACAGGCAGCTCAGCGACCAGCTTGGACAGAAAATACGGGCCTACCGCATACGCTCCTTTCGCCCTCTCCCTCTCTACTATCTGCCGCTCCTTGGGAAACACATTCAGCGTCTTGGTGATAGAAGCCATGGCGGTGTTGATTGCCGCGACTTGCAGGAGTCCCATGCGGTCCTGGATGGTGGACTGTCCGAAGCCCATGCGCCAGAAGATGGATCCGAAGATGGCTGCTGAGGTGAGGTTCATCATGGCTCGGACCACGTTGGTGGCGCGGTCGCGGGTGGTTTGGCGCCAGGCTCGGACTAAGAGGATTTTGAACTGCTGCCAGAAGCCTGCCCCGTCCGCATCTGACTTGGCTGCGGACAGCCCGAGGGTCTTCTTTCGCTTCTGCCCCTCCCCCTCTTCCTCCTCGTCATCATCTCCTAGGCTGGCCTGGAGGGCGGCGGAGACGGCCAGGGCGGCGCTGGTGTCGGCCTGGGCGGTGGAGTGGGCGGCGAAGGCTTGGATGAGGCGGGAGATGCGGGTGGCGGACTGGGCTTCGGTGTCGGGGGAGGAGTGGTCGGTGCCGACCAGGTCTGAAAGGAACTCTGCCGGGTTGGAATGCAGCGGGCACTCGTGCCTGTAAGAGGGGAAGGGGGAGGAGGGTGGTGCGTTCGGGAGGGAAGGGGGGAGTGGTAGGTTGCCTCAGTGTCGGGAGAGGTGTGGTCAGTGCCGAGCCGACCAGGTCTGAGAGGAATTCTGAGTAGACCACTCCCACTAAGCCTTCCCCCATCCTCCTTACCCCTTCCTGTCCCCCATGCACCCCCCACTCACCCCTGGGTCTTGAAGTACTCTAGGCACGCGTCCCCTGCCGATTTTGAGAAGATGTTTGAGACGCACATGTCCTCCTGTCCCCTCCAATACCACACCCCCTTTGTCCCCACACTCACCCCTGACTCTTGAAGTAAGTACTCCAGGCACGTGGCCCCTGCTGGCCCAGAGTAGATCACTTACCCATCCCTTCCTCCTCCCTCCACTCACCCCTGACTCTTGAAGTAGTCCAGGCACGTGTCTCCCGCCAAACCAGAGACAAGCTTGCCGCCCGCAACCATCATGATGTCGTCAAACATGTCAAACACGCTCATCCCTCCCCCTCTTTCCTTCACACCTCATCCTCCACTCACCCCTGACTCTTGAAGTACTCCAGGCAAGTGTCCCCAGCAGGTCCCGAGTAGACGAGCTTGCCGCCCGCAACCACCATGATGTCGTCAAACATGTCAAACACGCTGCCACGTGGCTGATGGATACTGGTGGACGGAAGAAGGGGGGTCGTGGTGGAGGAGAGGGGAGGGGGGAGAAGAGGGGGGAGGACGGGGAAGGCGGGGGGATGAGATTGCTGACCACATGGAAGAAGGGAGGGCATAAGTGGCGGTGAACAAAGAGAGATGAATGTTTCACAGGGGAAGGGGAGGGCTGGAAGGGGCGATGGAGGGAGGGAGAGGACGAGAGTAAGGGGAGGCGGATTTGGAAAGGGAATAGCACTCTCTCTCTATTTCCCAACAAACAATCCACTCACAATTCACGCCCTCCTGTGCGCTCACCTTCAGATGACAGTACGGCCCTCCTTAGCAAGGTCCTTAAGCGTCCGCATGACTTTCTCCGCCTGGTACGCGTCCAGCCCCGTAGTGGGCCTCCTTGCCCGCTCACCTCACGCCCTCATGCCATTTTCCCGCCAATTCCTTCCTTCTCTATGCGAACGGCTCTCACCTGCAAATCACCGTGCGGCCTTCCTTAGCAAGGTCCTTGAGCGTCTGCATGACCTTCTCCGCCTGGTACGCGTCCAGCCCCGTGGTGGGCTCGTCTGCGAACACCACGGACGGGTTACCCAGCAGCTCGCACGCGATGGACAGCCGCTTCTTCTCGCCGCCGCTGATGCCGCGCGTCTTGTTGTCGCCCACTATCGTGCCCGCCGCGTTCACCTACATAAATGGAGAAAGGCATGGGAAGAAGCGTTGATTCCTTAGGCAACTCAGCGACTGGCACTAAATCAGTCTGACTCGCTCACCAGGCCCATGTGCTGCAGCAGCTCTTCTACGCGCTGCTCATTCGGACTCGAACCTACTGCAGGCCAATCTGCGAGTTGTTTGAATCACTCGCTCACTCACTCAAACAACAGACTCACCAGCCCCAGGTGTCCTCCACGTGCTGCTCCTTCTTCCTCGTGTTTTATGTTTTCAGACATCTCAGAACCATATTCATATTCAACATAAAGTCGAAATCCACTCACCAGCCCCAGGAGCTGCAGCAGCTCTTCCACGTGCTGCTCCTCCGCGTCCTTTAAGAAATCTCACATCCATATTCCCATTATCCATACAACAAGCGATGTGCGACTCACCAGACCCAGGTGCTGCAGCAGCTCCTCCACATGCTGCTCCTTCTCCGCGTCCGACATGGACGAGGGCAGCTGCAGCTTCGCCGCCGTCACCAGGGTCTCCCGCACCGTCAGCTGCGAGAAGAAAATGTCCTCCTGCCGGACGTACACCTGCCTGCGCTCAGAAAAGGCCGTGCAGAAAACAACACACACACACCAAAAAAGGAAAAAGAATAAGGATAAACGGAGAAAGGCGCCAATTTTCGTAGGGGTCCTACATTCGTGTGCGTAAATGCTCGTGAGGGAACTCTGAATCCTACGTTCACAGGCGTCAGCGTCCGTGGGACGTTCTGACGGATAATCTAGCAAGGCACTGCACGCTTTTGAGAAAAAGTTGCTAAAGAAGGCAAAGGGGAGGCTGTCATGTTCCGAACGCAAATGCGAATGGCAGCACATGCGTGCGTCATACTGAAAGCTTACTTGTGCCATGAATTCGCAATGGGAATGCCATTAGCGCGGATGGAACCGTAGAGCGCGATGTTGCTGCTCATAGGCAGCTATTTTTTAGTACACTAAAAAACACGCAAGAATGACTTACTTGTGCCATGAATCCGCAATGGGGATGCCATTAGCGCGGATTGATCCGTAGAGCGCGATCTTGCTGCTCTTAGGCAGCTGACCCGCAAGAGTGTTGAGGAGCGTCGTCTTGCCGGACCCCGACGGTCCCATGATCGCCAGCAGGCGACCGGGCCTCGCGCTGCCATTCAGCCCGTCCAATAGCTTCTTCACCTGCGGGTAGGGAAGAAGGCAGCACGATATTTTTCTAGGGAACCTCGGCAGTGTCTGTCTTGCCGGACCCTGACAGGCCCGTAAAGGCCTATAGGCGACCAGGCCCCGCGCTGCTGTTCTGCAAGTCCCACAGCTTCTTCACCTGACATGAATGGGGTCTCAATTGTTAACGTAAAAACTGTTTCCATATTTGCAAGTAACAAATCTCAACGTTGACTATCTTCGTGATGTTACCGTGCTTTGTCGAGGTTTGACTGAGCTGCATCACCTGTCCCTTCGTCAGTTTGGGGTTGAACGGAACTACTGAATCGACAATGTCGTACCTCTTCTCCCTTCTTATCGAGAAGCTGGCACGTGATGTCGCTCCATTCAAGCTTCACGCCACGGTCGGGGTCGCCGGCGACAAACGACTTATGTCGCACGGCCTTTCCCTTCTTCTTACCGCCGCGCACCAGGCTTCCGACGGCACTAACCGCGACAATTATCGTGCGGTGCTGCGGGAATGCAGCGTATGCTGCGACACTGACAATAAAACCCCAGGGGACCATTCTTAACGCTGTATCGGGACAATCACGCGCAGGGAACGAACCCTAGTCTGGTCAGGACTAGGAACAGACCGGGAAACCAGGAAGAAGATTGAAAGGCTGGTAAAATGAAGAAATGTGAGAGTCTGAATGAAGAAATCGATGGTGCTGGTTTGCCTTGGGATTGGAAATTGGAGATGGCGACGAGGCAAGGGAGGCCCGGAAGAATGAAAGGTTCTCTTGAAGTTGTCGCTGCCCGCGACAGCGTGGCGAATCGAACGATGTTGTTCATGCCAAGGCTGCATAGACTTTCGCGAACAGATGGGATGAGACTCACATCATGAGAGAAGTAGAAATGTGGCAGGGCGCCTGGATTTCCGGGTTGCCAGCTGTCCTTCTGGAAGTCTGCGATTCTTTACAATCATGACATACTGTTAGGCTGAGCTTGGCTGTTTTTAAGCCAACATTCTCTGAGAAACGTAACATTGGTTTTAAAAAAGTATGCACCATGTATTGTGAAATTGTAGACTAGCCCCAGCCAGCCTTATTGAAATTCTAGGGCTTACCCTCCGGCCTCATCTTCTCTAACTCCGTGGTATTTGTCGAACAAGCAATAATGCCGATGTGAATGAAACAAAATGCCTTTACAGGTCGTAAAAAGCAGGATTACAGTTAAAAAATAATAAACATTTCCCTAATGTGCAGGTGCAGCAACAAGTGGTTGCGTACTTGCTTGGACTTCTGAATTTATCCTGATATTGTCGTCCTCCTGTTCACCCCGCCAGGTCTGCGTTGCTGCATCTTGCACTTGAACCCCAGCGCTCGATCCGTGAACACTCGCCTCCCGAATGGTGGATTCGGAGGAGACGTGTGACAAGAGCTGGATGTCACTTGCCATCTCCAAATCATTCGACGACGAGGATGCTGACGATGAAGAGGCAGATAAGGCGGTCGCCTCTGCTCCGGGTGTTTTCTTCGGGGTTCGAGCGATGCGCTTGCAGACAGGACAGAAGGGCTGCCGGGTTGTCAGCCACTCGTCCACACACTCACTGTGGAACTCTGCAGTGGGAAATATATGGGTGGAGCCCAGAAAACGAGTAATGAGAAATCATTACGTGATTAAAGAGAGGCCCATGTAGAGGAAAAATACCATGGGACCAGTAGGAAGAAAAGCTAAGGGGAAGCAAGGAGAGTCAAATGTGAGTACGTTATCGGCTGGTAAACCATGGCACCTGATTTCCCGCTTCTTACCAAGCGATGCATTTCTTTCCACCTCCTCGTCTTACCCACACATAACATGACTGCATGGCAGGACCTCAGCCGCACCCAACACCCGTACTCCTCAACACTCACAGCCAACCCGGCATGGCACACGTCCCCCACATGCATCTGGCGATTATCACCTCCATTGATTGAACCAACACTCACGCCCCGTGTCTTACCATGACTGCATGGCAGGACTCTCAGCCGGTCGCCACACTCATAGTCCTCCAGGCAGATCGCACACGTTTCCCACGTGCTTCTGTAAATAACCTCCTCCTCCCCATCCTCCTCCTCCTCTCCCTCCTCCGCACCGCGAAAAGACACTCTGCTTCGCACACTGCTTTGCCGACTCAGCTCCACACCCGGAAAGCCGCCCAGCTCTACGTCCCCCCATTGGATATGGTCACACGAGGGCCTCCGCCCTTCACTCACTATAACAACATCTGCCTGATGCTTCCCCTTGAGTTTCTCCTGACTGCTCCCCAGCTCGTTACAGTCACTCTCTGTACTCCCCTCAGCTTTTTTAGCCCCTTCCTTCCTGTCAGCCTCCTCTTTTGCAACCCCTTCACTCTTATCCCCCTTGCTGCTGCTGCCATCCTTCTTTTCAGCCTCTGCCCGTTTGAGACTCGGCAAACCCAGAAAAGTTTTCTCGGGCAGCGCCATAACCTCCTCCAGAGTCATTTTATCCGGCGAGACGGTCAGCTGAATGGGCAGAATATCCGGATTCACCCCCGCAGCCGCCGCCGCTCCCGCCACCGCATTCCTAATCCTATACCGGCACACGCAGAGAAACGCGAGGAGCATTATGCCGATAGCAAGGAGGGAGGAGATCCAGATGATAAAGGACCAGGAGTAGGCCGAGGTGGTGTAGTAGGGCTGCGCGGGGTAAAGGATGGCTATGGTTTCGGGGTATGGCTGGATGACCGAGAGAACGGTGGTCGCGTCTTCGAGAGAGATGAAGGCGGAGGGTATCATGATGCCCATGCGCTGATTCTCTGTCACTGAGGGAGACGGAGGGGAGGGGGGAAGGGGAGGGGCGGGGAGGGTGGGGAGGATGAGGGGGGAGGGGGGACGTGTTAGAGTTTGGCAGAGAAAATGGTGGACGCGTCTTCGAGAGAGATGAATGCAGAGAAGGGCGAACTGGGGCAATGCGGGAACGGGGACATGGCGCAATGAGGGATTTCGGGAAACTGGGAAAAGGACGAACTGGGACAATGGACGGCAAGGGGGAAACGCAGAGGATGCGAGAGGTTTGCTAGTGAAGGTGAAGGAACAAGCAACGCAAGTTATTGTACACTTCAGGGCAAGCAGCGCAACGCAAGCTAGTGAGGTGTGAACAGCGATCACTTACTTATAGCGAGGTCTTGGTTGGATTCGTTATTGTACACGACCGCAGCGGCGTACCCCGCGAATTGCGCATTCTGCACCTTCCGCCCGAACGAGCAATCTCCGCGCGCAATCAGCGCGAACTGGACGGTGCCGGGCAGCACGCGGTTTTGAATAGGCTGACATGCGTTGGCGGGTACCGTCGGATACAGCCGTCCCCAGAAGCCGCTGAACGGGATGACGGGGCCTGGAGAGGGAAACGAGGGAGTAAGGAGGAGTGAGAGGGAGTGAGAGCAGCAGAATGGACGGATTAGGCATGGTGATCACCAAGCAGCCAGCCTTCTCTTGCTCTCGGCGGATGGAGAAGAGGCTTACCCAAGAAGGAGCCAACCCCCTCTTGCTCCTTCCTCTTACCGAAGGAGTCAGAATTGGCGGAGAGGAAGGAGTAGCCGCGCGGCTGGGCCGACTCGAGGCATTGGGAAGCCGCCATTAGACGGAATAAGTGTTCTTGAGCTAATATCATGTTCTCTTGAGGCGGATGGGGAAGAGCTTAACGAAGTTGGAATCGGCGGAGAGGAACGAGTAGCTGAGCTGCTGCGGCGACTTGAGGCGTCGGGAAGCCACATTTGTACCCCGTAGCTGCTGGCGAGCTAACCTAAGACCTTGTTGTCTGGGGGCGCATGGGGAAGAGGAAGAGCTTACCGTAGTCGGCGTCGCCGGAGGCGAAGGAGTAGCCGAGCTGCTGCGGCAACTCGAGGCTTTGAAAAGCCACTATAAGCCGGACTCACTGCACATGAGGTGACCTAGGGCCATGTGGTCTAGCAGCGCATGGGGAAGAGGGAGAGCTTACCGAAGTCCGCGTCGGTGGAGGCGAAGGAGTAGCCGAGCTGCTGCGGCGACTCGGGGAGTCGGGAAGCCATTATGATACGCCGTAGCTGCTGGCTAGCTAACCTAAGACCTTATTGTCTGGGGGCGGATGGAGAAGAGCTTACCGAAGTCGGCATCGGTGGACGCGAAGGAGTAGCTGAGCTGCTGCGGTGACTTGAGACGCAGGAGACCGGCAGCGACGGGCGCATGGGGGAGCAGCGCGACGAGCAGCAGCAGCAGGGGGAGGGGGAAGGGGAGACTGCGGAGGCCGCTTGGGAGATTGCGCAGGCCGCGGGAATGGCATCGGGGAAGAGGCGGAGGAAGGGGGATGGCGGAGCTGGGGCGCGCGAGACGGGGGATCGAGTGGCGGAGGGTCGGCATTGCGGCTCCGCTGCTGCCGGCTGGGTGGCTGTAACAGGCGACGAGGCTACTTCTGAGGCGCTTCGAGGATTGAGCGGAAGGTTGCCGCAGCTAGCGACGAGGCGAAGAAGATACGACGGCGACGATGAATAAGGACGAGCGTAACGCAGGATGTCTAGTGCTGTAACGATATCGGTGCGTGTAGTAACGAGGTGCTGCGACCCACCCACTACAAGCTTGTTTCGCACTGGCTTGTATTGGAGTAACCGTCCAAAGGCTCACAAGCCCTCGAGCAACGCCTTCCAAATGCTATGTCCACGGCGGGCCTGTGAATTACGAGAATCCGAAAGTACAATGCTCTTAGTCGCTTGGCGGCTTGAGTGATTGCGCCCGAACGATAGGCAGCAGGAGTTGACAGGAGTCGACGACTGTCTCGGGCTGCGCCGTCCCAGTCACGCTCCCTCGAGGAACTGCCGTCGGGAGTACTCACGGACCACGGTTACTGGGAACCTTTGGGAAAGGCAATGATGGAAATAAGAGAGACTAGGAATGATCCCGCTTCACCAGCTACAGCTGGGGTGGGTCGTGCAGGGAGGAGGGGGGAGAACCAACTGGAGTGGTGGTGCAGTGCAGGGCACTGGTGGTGTGGTGGTTTGGTGATGTTGATGTGCTTGGTTGCTCCCAAACCGAATTCCAACCAATGATGTGTTGCATCATGCCTAGACACATGCCGAGCAGATACACCGTACAGTGTATTGTATTATTCTACAGAATTTGTGAGGGCTTGTCGCGTCGCAGCAGTGAAGGAAGGGACGAGCAAGGAGCGTCTTGTTCGTCACCGTCGTGTTGTGCGGCCTAGCGCGATTTACGCGTCGCGTCGCGTCCATCGCACCGAATCACAGGTTTCGTGAATGGGGGCATCGTCATTCTCCCAAGGTGCGCCTGTCGTTGTCGCCCAGCCAGTTGTGGAAACCGGCGAAAAAAACAGGTTTGGGGGACCTCAAGACCATTAGGTTCGGTAACGAAGAAACCAATCAGGTAGACGCAACATGCGGTTCGCTGGCTTGGCACCAAGGGGCACCTGCCTCTGACATGCGCAACAATCGCATCAGAGATAATAGCTGAAGTTGGTGGGATTAGACCCACCTATAAGATGAGCTCACATAAATAAAAGATGACCTCACTTGGAATATATTGAAACAAACTTTAACAACCCCTTACGTACACATAATTGCTAGGTGGGGTTGTTCAGGAGATAATATACGTGACTAGTGCTTGAGACCACATAATGGGAACAACCTATGTCATAAAATCTTCATCTGCATAACTATTTACACATCTGCATGACTATTTACTCTTCTCCGTAATAATTTCCATCAACTCAATCCTCTTCCTCCTCTTCCAGCTCCGCTTCCTCCGTTTCATTCTCCTCATCCTCCCCTTCATCTCCCTCGCCACACTCCAACTGCTCCCGTTCTCCCCCTTCATCTCCCATTCCCCCACCCTCTCCTTCGCCTCCACCCCCCTCAATGCGTCCCACCCACCCCTCCTCTTCTTCCTCCCCATCTTCCTCCTCGTCGTCCTCTTCATTCTCCTCCTCATCCTCATCCTCCTCATCCCATGTACAAACCTCCCATGCCCCACACCCCAGCCTCCTCATCCCCCCACCGCCATCACCACCATCCCTTGAAGCACCAAGAGCAAGTGCCTCTGCATGCTTAGCAGTCAACTCCAGATGCCGCTTCTGCATCTCATATGCTCCCACCAACGCCTTCACCTCCCTCTCGCCCCCCAATGCACCGGCAAGATAATTCAGCCCCGGTCCAATCACTTCCGAATCTCCTGATCCCGGACCTCCACCTCCCTTCCCCAAACCTTTTCCCCGTCCTCCCCCCCTCCCTTTTCCAACGGCCTTTCCTCCCCTTCCTACTCCTCGTCCTACTCCTCCTGTTCCCCCACCCTTTACATTCCCTCTCCCTCCACCTCGCCCCCCCCTTCTTGACTGACTGCCGCCTGCACGAGTAAATCATCACAACAATAAAGAGGAATACACTAGTGGGGATCAGAACGAAGGCGAGAAAAATAGGAAGATTCGGAACACCGGCTTTCAGAGTGCAGAAGATCGGGATACAGTGTGGAAGGAGTAATGATAAAAGAAGGTGAGATAAATAGGAAGATACGATATTTGTTTGTGCGGCTGTGCTTTTTTTTTGAAAGGCAGAAAACACAATTTGACTCTGAAGTCAAAAACGAAAAAGAACACTCCTTTTACAAAGCAAAAACACTACTCACCTGTTTTGTGCAGCCGTGGCAGGCTGCTGCTCTGCTTCTCCCGAATGATGCGGTCCACATACGTGGAGTACTGCAGAGGGGGGTTAAGGGTTTAATGGGTTTTGGGTTCAGGAATAGAAGAGTCACTGCTGTGGTGTTCTGCAGAGGGGATAAACATTTGGGATTGGTGGATCCAAGGGAAGGGCGTGTTTGGACATTCAAGCCATCTTTACCTTACCACACCCCGCCTCTCTCCCACCTCTCCCCGTGCACAAACCCCTGCCTTACCCCCGCTCCCCCTCAATGTCCCCCAATATCCCACCTTTTGTTTTAAACCATCCGGACTCTCCCCCCGCCTCCCCTCAATGTCCCCCAATATCCCACCTTTTGTTTTAAACCATCCGGACTCTCCCCCCGCCTCCCCTCAATGTCCCCCAATATCCCACCTTTTGTTTTAAACCATCCGGACTCTCCCCCCGCCTCCCCTCAATGTCCCCCAACATCCCACCTTTTGTTTTAAACCCTCCGGACTCTCCCCCCGCTTCCCCTCAATGTCCCCCAATATCCCACCTTTTGTTTTGAACCATCCGGACTCTCCCCAGCTGAACCTCGTTCTGCATTCCCCAAAGCAGCAGCGCTAGAAGCAGCAGCAGCAGCAGCAGAAGCAGAGGCGCCAGCAGCAGCAGGAGCGGGGGCAATGGCAGCAGCACCTGCTGCTGCTGCTGCAGGGCTGTACAGCCTCTTGTGAGCAGCAGAGGCCATGGCGAGGGCGAGGCGGGGGGCGACAGCAGACATGGCGCTGATTTGCTCGTCGTGCTGCGTGAAGTCATCCTTGTGCTGGCACTGCACTGCTTGCACCGCCTGTGAGAGGAGAGGGGGGTGAAGGGGGTGAAGCAGCAGAGAGGGGGGCGACAGCAGACATGGCGCTGATCTGCTCGTCGTGCTGCGTGAAGTCGTCCACTGCACTGCTTGCACCGTCTGTGAGGGAGGGTGGGATGGGGTGGAGAGCGGTGAGGCAACACAGAGGGGGGCGACAGCAAACATGGCGCTGATTTCCTCATCGTGCTGCGTGAAGTCGTCCTTGTGCTGGCACTGCACTGCTAGCACTGCCTGGGATGAGAGAGAGGGGAATGGGATGGTGGGGACTAGCAGAAGTGAGTGAGTGAGGGTACGACAGGGAGGTGCTGATTTCCTCATCATGCTGCGCGAAGTCATCCTTGTGCTGGCACTGCACCGCTACCACTGCCTGTTGGGGGGAGAGCGGGGAACGGGATGGTGGTAGCAGCAGTGAGGGTACGGTGGGGAGGTGCTGATTTCCTCATCATGCTGCGAGAAGTCGTCCTTGTGCTGGCACTGCACTGCTAGCACTGCCTGTCGTGTGTGAGTTGGATGCAGGGAGAAAGAGGGGCAGTGGTTGAAGGAATGGGAGATGGGAAGTGGGACTGCAGAGACGACGCTGCTCTGCTCGTTGTGTTGCTAGACCGGCTGTTGCGTGTGACTTTTGAGTCGACTCAAAAAATGAGTTTTGAGGTGACTTTTGAGATGACTCAAAAAATGAGTTTTGAGGTGACTTTTGAGTTGACTCAAAAAGTCACCTCGGGAAGTGCGACTGCAGAGACGACGCTGCTCTGCTCGTCGTGCTGCAAGACTGCCTGTTGCGTGTGGGATGGGGCGATGGGGGAATGGGGGATGGTGGGGACTTCTAACAGCGAGGGCATAGAAGTAATAAGGCATAGCATCCCGTATACCAAGAAGGCTCACACACGTACCTGGAGAAGGGTATGGCATGTCGTCCCATCCCACGTACCTGGAACACGCACACACCTGGAAGGCACACACACCTGGAAGGCACACACACCTGGAAGGCACACACACCTGGAAGGCACACACACCTGGAAGGCACACACACCTGGAAGGCACACACACCTGGAAGGCACACACACCTGGAAGGCACAGTCGGCTCGCATCCTCCTATGTGCAGCCACTATCAGCCCAGCCTTTGTTTGAGGAAGCTTCCACCCTTTTTCCGCTCTGACTGCCCCAATTCCGTCCACCGTCGCAACCTCCCTCCCACCTCTCCTTCCCCTTCCACCCCCCCCAGCAGCGTCCCCTTTCCCCTTTCCCCGACCTGCCCCCCTCCCCCTACCTGCCCCCACAGCTGCTTTCCCCTTCCCCTTCCCCACAACGGCCTTCCCCTTTCCCCCAACCACCATCGCCCCTGCTTCAGCACAATCGCCCACCAGTCTTCCTCTATTCCTCGCCGCACTGCGGCTCTCCCCCCTACGAACCTCAATCTCACCCATCTCCACCCCTTCCAACCCCTCCCCGCCCTCCCCTGCACCATCCGCACCTCCCACAGGCCCAATCCCCACACAAGCAGCAACAAACGCAGCATGGGATGACTCCCCAATCGGCACCCCTCGCTGCTGCTGCCCCTGCCCCTGCTCCTCCTGCTGCCCCTCCTCCTCCCCCCTCCCACCCCCTCCAATCAACCGCCTCTGCCTCTCCCTCCGTTTCCGCGGCGTCGGAAACTGATCATGATGCCGGTCAAAGCACTCAGTCGCGGTCTTTCCAGGCACCCACAGGGCCACCCGCGCCCAGAACCCCTCTGCATGCGGATTCACTGCACTCATGGCCTCGTGAAACGCTCTCACTTGACCCGCCGTCCACCCCATGTGATCCAGTGCAGGAGCGGCGGCAGGAGCGAAAGCAGACGCAGAGGCGGGGCTTTCCGGGGGTTCGTCTTGAGAGGGGTGGTTCTGCCCGCGGTTGTTCTGATCCTGATTAGGCCGGTTCCTAGCGGCGTGTGACGGTGAAGCCATAGGGTTACCAGCAGCGGCAGCGGCAGCCGCAGTGGCAGAAGCAGAGGCAGAGGTTGAAGCAGAGAAGCGATTGCGAGTAGATTCGGAGATGTTGACAGAGGGAGGAGGGGAGGGTGGGGGGGGCGCTGGGACCAGGGCAAGGCATTGGGGGTCGTGGGATGGGGATGGCGGATTGCAGGGTGAAGAAGGCGGAACGGCGGATGGGGATGGGGGAATATGACAATCATCCTTCCCCTTCCCCACCTTCTTCCCCTTCCCTTCCCCCTTCCCCTTCTCTTCCCCCTTCCCCTTCCCTTCCCCTTTCCCCTTCTCTTCCCCCTTCCCCTTCCCTAAACCCTTCCCCTTTCCTCCCACCTTCCCCACTTCCCCACTAACCCCTCGAGCAATCCTAGCCATCGATCTGGTCACTCTGACACTCCTCCTTTCAATTTCCTGTACCTCCTCTCTTTTCCTCTTGAGACCGCTTTCTTTCCCCATCGCTTTCCCCGTCGCTTTCCCCATCGCTTTCCCCATCGCTTTCCCCATCGCTTTCCCCATCGCTTTCCCCATCGCCCTCCCCTTCGCCCTCCCCTTCGCTTCCCCATTCCCTTTTCCCATGCTTTCCCCATCGCTTTCCCCATCGCTTTCCCCCTCTTCTTTCTGTCTCGCGCCTCCCCCACTCCCATCCAATCCGTCACCCCCCCCTCCAACCCTCTCCACTCTCCCTTCCTCCGCATTCTCCACCACTCTTCCCTTCTCCGCATCCACATCCACTCTCCCCTTCTGCCCTGTTCTCGAGGTTCGGAATATCTGAGCCAGAGCAGCAGCCTTGGCAGCCCTACCAGGCACAGTTCTTCCTCCCACCACTGTCCCATCAACGGTTCTCCCAGCTCCCTTCAACACACTCGCTAAAGTCACACTTGTTACAGCATCCTTATCTGTAGCCCCCATTACAGGAGCTTCCGCTTCTTCTTTTTCCCTTCCATCCTCCCCGTTCCCTTCCACTTTTCCCTCCCCTCCACCCTCCCCTCTTCCCTCCTCTTCCCCCTCCCCTCCACCCTCCCCTCTTCCCTCCTCTTCTCCCTCCCCTCCACCCTCCCCTCTTCCCTCCTCTTCTCCCTCCCCTTCACCCTCCCCTCTTTCCTCCTCTTCACCCTCCCCTCCTACTCCTCCATCTCCATCCCCCTTCCCTCCACCCTCCACTCCCTCCTCTCCTACCTCCTCTCTTCCCTCCTCTCTCCTCTCCTCAGCTCCCTCCATCACCACCTCTCCGCCCATATCCCCCTCCCCATTTCCTCCCTCCTCCCTTCCAACCCCTCTTCCCTCCTCCGCCACCGCCTCTCTCCCCCCATCCGCCTCCCCAGTCAAATCTATCATATCCTCTTTATCCTGCCCGCCTTCCCCATACTCTCCCCTCAGCCTGGGAGACTTTCGAGTTGCTTCAGTAGCCACCACTCTCCCCGCCCCTGCCTTTCTAGGAGAATTACCCAAACCGTCCGCTTCAACCCCAACTTGGGCACACCTCCCCCTCCCTCTAGGCGACTTCAGAGCCGATTCAACAGCCACCACTCTCCCCACACTTGTCATTCCAGCCGGATCAACCAGACTCTCCACCTCAACCCCCCCTTCCCCTTGAGCACTCCTCCCCATCCTCCTAGGTGACTGTCGAGTCGATTCAGCAGCCACTGCTCTCCCCACACCTGTCTTTCCAGCCGAGGCAGCCACACCCGCTGTCTCAACCCCCCCTCGCCCCCCCCTTCCCCTCCCCCTAAGCGAATTTTGGGCCAATTCAGCAGCCACAACTCTCCCCACACCTGTCCTTCCAGCCGTAGCACCCAGATCATCCGCCTCATCCCCCCATCGCCCCCCCCTTCCCCTCCCCCTAGGCGACTGTCGGGCCGATTCAGCACCCATTGCTCTCTCCACACCTGTCATCCCTGCCGTAGCACCCACACCCCCCGCCTCAACCCCCCCTCGCCCAGAACCCTTCCTCCCCCTAGGCGACTTCTGGGCCGATAAAGTACCCACTGCTCCCCCCACATGTGCCTCTCCAGCCGTAGCACCCACACCCTCCGCCTCAACCACAACTTCTTCTTGCCCTTTCCGCCTCCTCTTGCTCTTCCGCTTCTCACCCACCTCCCCTGCTCCATCCCTCTCTGCATCTGCGCCATTCCCTTCCCCTCCCTCGAGCACTTCCCCTTCCCCCTCATCCTCCCTTCTCTCCTGCTCTTCCCCACCAGCTGTTAGCTCTCCAAGCAAGGCTGCAGAGTCGGGCGAGAGACAGTGTGGGTGGCAGTGCCACGGCCACATCAAAACACGAGAATTCAGAAGAGTTAGAGTTAAATAGCCTTAGGAGAGATAGACAATATTAGAATCACGAAGAAAAAGCTGCAGAATCAGACAGGTAAAACAGCTTGAACCAAACACCTGGTGACCTGAAATGTGGTAACCATACACATGGTAACCCGCTTACCTTTCTTGATAATCTTCAGTTCCTCTGCACGCGTCGTTGGCTGCAGCCCTAGCAGTATACAAGGTCGGTCCACATCCTGTGACCAAAGCACCATCAAGTAATGCACAAAGAAAAGCAGCATGCAAAGAGAGGAATATAAAAAAAAAGAGAATTATTAAAAGAGAATAAGTAAAGGGAGAAAAATCCATCTCTAGACTCCCTTGAAGCGAGAGATGAACACTCACTGAACACTCACCACAGGGAGGGCTGAACACTCACCACAGGGCGGAAAATCCTCTCGTCCTTCCAGTAGGCCAGAGGAGGGAAGCGCGGGCAACTTAGGAGCTCTATTTCTGAGGCGCCCCAAAAAAAAGCAATCACTCATTCCGGGTTAACGACTCACCACAGGGCTGAAAATCCTCTCGTGCTTCCAGTAGGCCAGAAGAGGGAAGCGCGGGCGACCTGCGGGCAGAAGGAATGCATAGCAAACAGGTGGGGACACGGGGTTGGGAGGGAGCAGGGGCACGGGGATTTGGGAGCAGAGGAACAAAGGAAAGGTTTGAGGCGCCGCAGAACAGGGATGGGGAAGGATGAAGAGTGAGGGAATGAGGGAGTGCGGGAATGAGAGAGCAAGGGAAAGTTGGGGCGAGCATAGGGGGACAGGAAACATGTGAGGGACGGAGGCAAGCACCGAAATGAAGCAAAATAGTACCGCTCTATACCACACTAGCCTACCCCTACACGCCCAAATCCTAAGAGCTTTTGAGGCGCCTCAGCATGGGCTTAACATACTTTAATAAATCGAAATGTGCTTTGGCCAAATTCCAAAACATAAAACGTGGAGCAGGGGGCCACTAGATAGGAGGGTAAGGAAAGGGATGGAAAGGGAATGAATGAGGGGAATCACAGGGAGGAGAGTGAGGGCGCTGTAAAAAGGAGAGTGCAGTGCGGTGGGTGGTGAAAAGGAGATTTGGAGGGAATTCGCACCACTCCGAGAGTACTCCACATTGACAATGCGAGAGCCATCGGTGTGGGGTCTGGGAGACGTGACGTGAGAGGCACCAGCACCCCTCCCAGCAGGGGATTTCACGTGAGAAGCCGCACGGCCGGGTTTCGGAGAGTGTAACACGTTCTTGTGGCTTCGGTTGGAAGTTTGGTGCGATAGCGGGTGGGGAGGCTGGCGGGAAGGTGGGTGGGACGGTCGGTGGGGGGTGGTGGCAGGAGGAGGAGGAGGGGGAGGAGTGGAGCAGCGACGACGTGAGGCAGCACGGGGAGGTGTGGCAGGTAGTGGCGAGTTGGAAGGAGCTGACACGCTGGGGGATGGTGCATTATCCACGCTAGTAGCGTTTGCAGCATTGGCTACACCGGCAGCTGTGGAGCGTTGGTGACGTGAAGCAGCACGAGGAGGTGTGGCAGGTAGTGGCGCGTTGGAAGGAGCTGACACGCTGGGGGATGGTGCATTGGCCGTGTTAGTAGCGTTGGTAGCATTGGCAGCGGTGGTAGCACCGGCAGCATTGGAGCGTTGGAGACGTGAGGAAGCAGGGGGTGGTGTTGCGGGTCGTGGCGAGTCAGAAACAACATGCGCATTAAGGGATGGTGCATTTGTCGCATTAGCAGCAGTGGCAGCAGTGATGTCACCAGCAGCAGTGGCGGCAGTGGCAGCACTGGCAGCATTGGCAGACCGTGTGACATTATCAGGCGAAGCTACATCAATGGGACTCCCAAATGCAGCAGCTGCTGCTGCTGCTGCTGCAGATCCAGTCCCTGCACTCACTTCTCTCACTGCCCTTAGTTCTCTCACTGCCCTCACTACACCCACTGCTCCCACTTCCCCCCTCACTGCTTCCTCTGCTCCCACTGCTCTCCCAACTGTGACTGACGCCCCAGCAGCCCCACGCAGAGGACTATTCAACGGAGACTCATCCCATGCATCCACGCCTCTACATGCTCCGTCCTCCTCGTCTGCCAGCCCCCCACCCGCGCTCTCCGCTTCTTCCACCCTCGCATCTGCCCGCTTCCGCTTCCTTCCTTCCCGCACAGTCCCACCACACGGCCTAAGCCTTCCCTTCTGAGAATCCTCAGAAAAGGCCCCAACACACGGCCTAAGCCTTTCCTTCTGAGGCGCCTCAGAAACAGCCCCACCACACGGCCTACCCTGCTCCACCTCCACCCCATGCCCCACCATAGGCCCCCCATGCTCCACCAGAGGCACCTGCACCAGAGGCACCTCCACCACATCAGGACTCGCACTACCAGACGGATCAGCCTCTTCCTCCCCGCGCCCTGCGCCCCTCACCCCTCCTCTGCGCCCCTTCTGTAAAGGCGTCTTTATAAGTTCAGCACTCACCCCATTTGCCTGGCCACCCCCTTCCTTCCTCTTCCCTCCGTCCCTCACCCCTCTCTGCCCCTTCCTCAAACGCGTCTTCATAAACTCAGGAGTAACCCCACTTGCCTGGCCAGCTCCTTCCTTCCTATTCCCTCCGCTCCTCACCCCTCCGTCCCTCACCCCTCCGTCCCTCACCCCTCTCTGCCCCTTCCTCAAACGCATCTTCATAAACTCAGGAGTCACACCACTTGCCTTGCCAACCCCTTCCATCCTCTGCCCTCCGCCCCTCACCCCTCCTCTCTGCCCCTTTCTCAAACGCATTTTCATAAACTCAGGAGTCGCCCCTGCTTGCGCCCCTGCTTGCGCCCCTGCTTGCGGCCCTGCTTGCGCCCCTGCTTGCGGCCCTGCTTGCGGCCCTGCTTGCGCCCCTGCTTGCGGCCCTGCTTGCGCCCCTGCTTGCGGCCCTGCTTTCGCCCCTGCTTGCGGCCCTGCTTTCGCCCCTGCTTTCGCCCCTGCTTTCGCCCCTGCTTTCGCCCCTGCTTTCGCCCCTGCTTTCGCCCCTGCTTTCGCCCCTGTGTTCGCACCGGCCTTACCCCCTCGTTCTAAGCTCTGCCGTTTCAACCATAAGACATCTCGAGCCTTGGCCTTGCCTCTCCTCTCCGCCCTCTCCGCCCTCTCCGCTCTCTCCCCCCTCTTCGCACTCTCACTCCTCTCCTTCCTCAATCTCGCTGCTGCTCCAGCTGTCCCCGCGGCCCTCCCTTTATCCAACGCATCCGTTATAACTCTTAACGGAACCCTTCCAGACGAGCCAGCAGCACTACTCCCACCTGACTTACCTCCTGCTGCTGCTACTGCTCGAGATACGGCCGTTGCTCCTGCCTTTGCTCCTGACGTTGCACCTGCCGCTGCTCCTGAAGCTGCTCCTGCATCTCGCACTATCGCTGCATCTGACGCTGCTGCAGCAGCCGCTACTTGCCCTCTCTGTCCCTTACCCTTGCGTCCCTTCTTACCTGCTGCTACAGCAGGCCCTAACACTACCCCCTTGCTTCCATTCCCTTCCCCACTCTCTTTTCCCTTTCTCCTCCCAATCCCTGTCTCTTTCCCGGTCCCTTGTCCTTTCGCTGTCCCTGCTCCTGTCCCTTCCCCTGCCCCTTCACCCTTTCCCCTACCATTCCCTTTCCAAATCACTTCCCCCTTCCCTACCCCTCTCCCTCTCCCTTTCCCTTTCCCCCTTGGCGTTGCAGCTTCTTTCAAGGCAGCAGCAGCGGCCACAGCAGCAGGTCTCCGCCTCCCTCTAGGCGGGCTCCATTTAACCAGCGCCCGGCGGAAGCTCAGTTGCCTCACCACTGCCAACCGCGCCTGACCCCTCGTTCGCACTTCTTTCCTCGTTGAACGTCCTCCCGTGCGTTGCTTCTCCTCCTCCTTCCCCTGAAACGTCCCACCCGCCTGCGTTTCCGCTACCCCCGACCCCCCCTGCTCGTTGCCCGTGCTTCCACTCCCACCTCCCGTGCCTGTCCTAGCTGAATCTCCCGCGCCCTTCCCGGTTCTCCTTCTCCCCTGCCCCGCCCTACCCCTCCCCACCGACTTGCGGCCCGCTCGCCGCCTCCCCTTCCCCCCTTCCCCTTCCCCTTCCCCTTCCCCTCGTGCGCGACCCTCTTCCGCATCCGCTGCGCTATCCCTTCCGCCTACCGCTGCTCTAATTTCCGAACCATCATCCGCGCTATCGCCCCCCCGGCCCCCATCCCGCGCGCCTACCAGCGCTGATTCCCCAAACCACCCGTCGGGAGTCCGGGGCCCCTCCGCCCCGCGCAAACCCTCCGCGCTTTCCCCCGCGCCGTCCGCTCCGCCGCGGGCCCCGCGCGGGGCGGAGGCGCCCCTTCCGCCAGCTTCCACGGGATGCCAGCCGACAAACGCGCCTACTGCAGCCACGCCCGCGTGCATGCTTTCCTCTACCTCCTCCTCCGTTATATCCATGCTCACCGCATCGTCCTCTATTTCTACACGCAACTCATCCCCTTCAATTTCCACATCAACCTCTTCCTCCTCCTCTTCCTCCTCCTCCTTCTCTTCCTCCTCCTTACCTTCCTCCTCCTTCCCTTCCACCTCCACACTCAAGTCGGCCTCTTCAATCTCCACAACCACCACCTCCTCCGCGGCATCCTCTGCAGCTTCCGCAATTTCCGCATCCTCCATAAATTTCCCACCCAGATTTACCTCGTCTTCCGTCTCTACCTCTACCCGCTCGTTTCTAGCCTCTTCGTTACAAGCACCAACAACGGAATCTCCCGCACGGACGCGCTGCTGCACCTCGTCGTCTACCCCGTTCGCATCATCCGCGTGTCCTTCTCCCGCAATAATCCGTTCAGCGTAACCCGTTACGAAGCCGTCGGACTGCGCTGAAAAATAACTATCCTCTAATAAATCGCTAGCAGCTACGCCGCGCGTTTCAGACGGCGAGCGACGCTGTTCATGATCGGTACGAACAGTTTCGGATTCCGTACCGTGCGTTTGCGGTTCTAAGCCGTCAATTTCAGCCACATCTCTAGATGGTGGGCATGCCGGCGCGCCTGCCGATACCACAGGTTCTCGGATCCTATGTGAAGAATCTCCTGCTTTTTTGCTCCTACTAGTAGGCTGGTTAGTCTCGATTCTGGTCTGGCCAGACTTCCCACGCGCAACGAGGTTACCCATTTTGCTAACACCGGCCGTGCGATCATCTTCACCAGTAGAAGATATACAGATCCTGCGTGTGCCTGAGCAGGGTAATATTCTATCGGGATTCGAACCAGCGACATTTTTACCTGAAGAGTACACACCCGTTTCTGTTCTGGGTGCCGAATTTCCGAGAAGGCTATCCTCATCGCTTCGAATTATCCGTTCGCCACGTGGCGTCATCTCTGGCGATCGTTTTCTCGAGGCAAGACCTTCAGAAGAAGCTAGATATTCGTCCCGCTCCCTCGCCTTCCCGAGCGCTTCAGGCAGGCTCCTGTTTCAGCGACAGTCCAACAGGCCAAAAGTAATGGCTTACTTTACTACTGAAAAAAGGGAACTCTCGTAACCTTGCTACTGACGCTAAGGTGCGATGGCAATTTCATCGAACTTCTGCGACGTGTCTAGCGATCAGGCTGGCGACGGTAGCCTGTGTGCGGTGTGACAATATCGAGAATACGACGACAGATCACAAAGTGACACGTTGCAACTGGAGGAATATCCTGAAAACAGCCTACGGCAACGAAGCTATTACTGGAAACTAGAAAGGCAAGCGGTGAGAAAAAGGTCAAATAAGGAAGGAGAGGAGAGGTTGCTGCGTTTGCTGTTGCACGTTCGTGTTCGCTGGCTTTCAGTGGAGAGACCAACGCAACGATGACAGAGGATTGATTGAACGAGACTCCTGTGATTGGAGGAACAACCCCAAGGTTCTGAATTTGGCGGGAAGTCTGACATTTCTGAAATCGTGGGGCCCGTCCCGCCAATTTGTCCATCAGCCTGTTGCGGTTCAGTGTGTTTCTACACGATAACAAAATCAATAATTTTTGCCGCTATGGACCGCAAAGAACCGAACAAAACCGAGAGGTTCGAGAATCAGGGAGGAGGACATCCCCCAGATGTGTGTATTCGCTATTTTATAGGACCCGTCCACGCAATGTATCATGATGAATGTACTTCGTACAGGATATTGGAAATACCTATGTGCTAGGGAAATTCAATTTCTAATGGTGCAATGGCAACCATCAATGTTGAATTACATTAAAAATTAAGATATCATATTATATTGATGGCTGTCGTCACGGTGATTCAAATGATTCGTATTGTGTGACGTTGTGAATGAAGACTCAATATGGTGTCGTTGACAAATTCGTTATACCGCGTACGAACTTGAAACGACACTTCCACTGATAATGGTGCCTAATGAACCTTTCGCACGGTAACAACCAGAAGCGAAAGCACAAATTCCACCTGATGTTTAGCAACGAAAATATTGGTAGTCCCAGTGGCAGGGATGGGAAGCAGCAGAAAAGTATCCGTTGACTTCGGGAAGATTCTGATCCCATGAATTCCTTCCTGTTCGATCTGCGCTTCCTGTAATCTGCCTGCTTCCGTTTCCTCTCGATTTTGCTTCTGCAAGGAGATATGACTGCATGCAAGCATACAACAAATTCACGCCTCTATCGAGTTGTCGTGCTTGGCGTACTAGGAACCATTGGTAACCCGCGACGCGTTCATGCAGTTTTCTTCCTTTTTCGCTATATCCTTCTCCTTTTTGCCATTGCGAGTCGTACCTCGCCACGGCTATCCAGCGCGTGGATACTAAGATACACATTTAGATATATCACGCATTCTTCTACGCCTCGGTCTGTGCCTTTCTTAGCGAAGCCTGGAATCACATCAACACCTTCTATACCTTCTATATTTCCTACACCTTCCTCCCGAAGCCTCTGCCAGTTCGGTTTTAACCCTCACCAACCTGCGCAAAGAGCAGTCGTCAGGATTCGAACCCCTGATCGGTGCCTCGCTATAAGATGTCCCGTTCGATTCTTGTCCAGACCAGCCGCGGCTCCCGAGACCGAGGGTGCGAACGTGCGAACCGATCCGAGCATTGATGGCGAACCAGTACCGGCGGTTGGGACTGAGGCTCGGTTGCATACCGAGGGAATAGAGGAGGGAGAACGAGAGGGGGGAGGAGAGCCAGGAGCGAGCGAGAGTAGGGTGGAAAAGGAGGAGGTGGTTGGCGGAGGAGGGCGAATGAGACGTGCCGGACGAGCGGGGAAAGCGGAGGTGAATGATGAAGAAGGGGGGAAAAGGAGTGGAGGGAGGGGAGGAGGAGGGAGCGGAGGAGGAGGGAGCGGAGGAGGAGGGAGGGGAGGAGGAGTGAGGGGAGGAGGTGGGAGGGGAGGATGTGCCGCCAGCGAGGAGGAGGAGGAGGCAGTGGCAGTGATTGCTGGAGTGCTGAGAAAGAAATTCGGGCCTCAGATCGTAAGGGAGGAGGAGGAGGTGGGGTTTACAGACGGAAGAATTGGTTATGAGGAGGAGGCGAAGAGAGCAGAAGAAGAGGAAGGGGATGTGGAGCGATTGGAATTAGAAATTGGGGAGGAAGGGGACGAGGGTGAGCGAGACGAAGCAGAAGTGAAGGAGGAGGACTTTCCAGGAACCACTTCTCGTCCAGGAAACGCACGTGCAACCTCTCCCTCCTCCCTCGTCTCCCTCTACCGCTTCTTCTCGTCCCACCTCGGCATCTCCTCCCCTTCCATTGTCGCTTCCCTCTTCGCCTCCCACCCCCAACTCCTCCGCTCCAATCCCACCAATGACTTGCTGCCACGTGTCCACCTCCTCCAGTCGTATGGCGTATCATGTGCCGACATCTCAGCCATCACCATGAGAACTCCTTCCTGGCTCCGAGTCTTCCTTCCCCAGGTTCGGGAATGCTTGACTTTCTCTTGGCTCGGGGTGTACGCCGAACCAAGCTAGGTACGGTGTTTCGAAGGTCTCGATATCTCATTCGCGCACGGGCTCGTTCAGCGAACCTGGACATTCTGGTGGAGACAGCAGGGGTTCCTGTGGACAAGCTGGGTGTGATTATAGAGAAAGCCCCAACCGTTTTATGCAGCAAGGAAGAATCCATACGAAGCCGGCTTGAGCTGCTATCAGCGTACTTGACTGATGGATACGAAGAAGGAAACGTCAGCAGTGGGCACCTGAAGCAACACAAGCAACACCTGAGAAAACTCCTGTTGCAGCAACCGCACATCCTCCTTCCCTCCCAAAAGGTCATCGCCACTAATCTCAGCCTCCTCCAGTCCTTCACTCCCCCAGGCACCCCATCCATAGCAAGCCCGGTTCTCCGCCTTGCCCCCACCATCGTCCTCCTCAGCTCGGATAAACTCTTAGCTAAGCTCCAATACTTAGTGGATCTGGTGGGGAAGAATGCAGCTGCGAGTGTGGTGCGAAACCATCCGTCGGTTCTTAAACTATCCTTAGAGAACCTGCAAGGCACGGTGGCATTGCTGAGCGATCTGATTGGGCGAGAGAACACCGTGCTTGCAGTGGCGCGGTTTCCTTTGCTGCTGAATTCTAGCGAAGCGAATGTCAAAGGGAGCTTCAGAGAACTTGTGCGAGAAATGGAAAAGGCGTTGGAGAGTGGTGAAGAAGATGAAAACGCTTTAGAAAGTCTTCCCTTTGAGTCGCCTAAAGAAAATGGAAGCATAAGTCCAAAGCAAGGGGAGAGCAGCGCTGGCTTTGGAGTCAGATTTAATAGCTGGGCTGAAGCAAGGGCAGGCAAAAGAGGAGGTTCTGATGGCAGCACTGGCACCACAGCTCGTGATCTAATGGCTGAGAGCAGAACTAGCGCCACAGCCCGTGATCTAGTGGTGCGTCTGGTGCTGAAGTCCCCAGCATCGATTTACTCCAATTGGGAGAGGAACACGAGGCACAAGGTGGAGTACCTAAAACGGGACATGGGGCTGTCTATAATGGAGGTGCTTGCGTTTCCTCAGTTCCTAATGTTGAGTTTGGATCAGCGAATCAGACCGTGCCATGTGGCACTTCTGAGCATGGGCTATGAGTTGGTGCCATATAGAGTGATGGCCGTTCAATGGAGAGGTGAACGCAGGAGGGAGAATGTGAAGGATACTGACGCAGGGTCGGAAGATGGGTCGCAAGATGTGGAACGAGATAAAGAGGTGGAATGCGGTGAAGAGGTTGGAAGTTATAATGGCCTGGAGTATATTTCAAGCAGCAACAAGTTGGGGACAGGAGTCACAGGTCAACAAGGCTCGGCGATGGCGGCGCTGCAGCAGGCACGGAAGAAGGTGTGTTTGATTCAACTCCTCAAGTGCTCGGACAAGCTACCCGTCTCCCCCCGGATATACCCCCATGGGGGGCAATAATAAAACAGGTTTTTTCATGGGGGTGGGCTTATAATCGAGTAAATTTATAAGCGCCGGCGTTTATAAAATGACATATATATATTTTTTATATCTTTTAACACCAAACTGTAGGTCTCGTGCTTGCCTTTTCAATCGAGTCGAAGTTACATGGGATCGTCTGTGAAATTCTCGCGCGCGCTGGGAGATACACCCAATCTGACTCACATCCAGCTCCTGACAGGTCCTGCTGACTGGACCCGCATCCAGTGCAGGGTCCGAATGTGAAGGGAACCGAATCTGCAACATATCCGCCTGCTAAAGTAAAAATCGTTACAGCTTTTTGAACACATTTCAAATTTTAAAGTTTACGTGCGCTTATAATAGAACAAGTTTTTTCAAGGGGTGCGCTTATAATCGAGGAGGGGATATAAGCGCCATATGCCAATTAGAAGCGCCAGGCGCTTATCCTAGGGTGGCGCTTATATCCGGGGGGAGACGGTACTTGAAAAGAGATTTGGGATAGCAGCACCAATGGTTTTCCCATAAACGGAATTTAATTCCTCGAAGCTGGAAATCACAAGTACACGGTGTAGAGTTTAATATCCCAGGAAACTATGTACGGTAATGGATATGTTATCGATATTTGAACAGAGCAGAGCGTAGAGGAAGGCTTCATCCTACCTAGGATAAGGGCAAGAGAGAAGGTCCATTCCATGCATATGGGCACATATCCAGCAGTGGCTCTCCACTCCATTCACTGGAAAAACACTTAATCTCATACAAATGGGCACATATCCATAAGACGAGTGCAGTTTGTGTCCAAGTTCCCTTCTTCTCAGCTTGAGTCGGGCAGTGATACAACAAAAGGAACTCCCCACGCCAACAGATATGTCCCTCCATTTCAACAGCACTCGGGCATCATAATAGACCTCAAAAGCTTGGCCTCAAAGCTCACTGAGACGTCCCGCCCCGGCATTATAACAGAACCCAACCCAGCATCGTCGTTCACATCACATCATGTTGCACCTCAGCCATGGATTACGACGTCGCATCGCAACGCTGGCTTGCGACATCCCATCCCACCCTGCCAACTCAGCATATTACGGTGGTACTAGCTAGCAAGCAGCGCTGGGCTAAAAGGTCATCCTGACTCCAGCAGCGAGTTTCCCTTCCATCTGCGCGGGTGTAGGGAGAGAGTTGGGGGTTGAAGGGAGGAGGATGAAGGGGATCAGGGTGTATTCCTGCCCTGCCTGACAAAGACATGGGGTTCTGAGGGCTGCTAATCTTGATTGGGAAAGAAAAACACTGAAGGAAAAGGAGTAAAAAAAAAAAAAAAAGGAAAACAAAAGGGAGGAAAAAAAAAAAAAGGAAAAAAGGAAAATCGGAGGTTCAGCTCACCTGCAGAGGAGGAACCTGCCCGATGGGAAGGTTTTGGAGATATCGCTCTTCCCCTCTTGCATACCAGCAATGCTACCAAGAGAACAGGGTGTACACAACCCTTGCAACCCATTGCTGAGCATACATTCGGAGGTCGAGAACACCTCGCCCAATGGGTCGATTCTTAAGGCGCAAAAACAAAAAATTCGAGGCGCCTCAAAAGTACCCCCCTGGGTCATTTCTTAAGGCAAAAAAGAAAATTACCTGCGGAGGAGGAAGCTTTCCAGGGGACTGAGGTTCTTCGTCCTACCCCCCTTGCCATCCTTGAGGCGCCTCAAAAGCTTTCCAGGGGACTGAGGTTCTTCGTCAAAAGTGTTGTTTTGAGACGTCTCAAAACACCCCCCTTGCCATGCCGCCTATCCGCTCGCCCATCCGCCCCTGCCCCTCCGCCTCTGGTTCAACTCACAAAGGGCGAAAGGAAATTATCTCTCACCTGCGGAGGAGGAAGCTTCCCAGGGGGCTGAGGTTGTTAACGTCATCGTCACCCCCCCTGCCATGCCGCCTGTCCGCTCGCCCATCCGCCCCTCCCCCTCCCTTCTAGGTGTATTCATCAAGCGCGAAAGCAAAATCACCTGCGGAAGAGGAAGCTTCCCAGGGGGCTCAGGTTGTTCACGTCATCGTCTCCCCCCTTGCCATGCCGCCTGTCCGCTCGCCCATCCGCTCCTCCCTCACCCCCTGGCCCCCCAAACTGCCTGCGCGCATTGGCCTTCAGGTCACGGAGAGGGGGGACCTCCTCTGATGCACTGTGAGTGGGAGATGGGGGAGGGGGAAGGGAAGATTCTTGCAGTTGGGAACTCCCCCCTCGCCCCCTGAGCCCCCAAACTGCCTGCGAGCGTTGGCCTTCAGGTCACGCAGCGAGGGGACCTCCTCTGATGCACTGTGAATGTGGGAGTGAATGTGGGAGTGAATGTGAATGTGAATGTGGGAGTGAATGTGAATGTGAATGTGGGAGTGAATGTGAATGTGAATGCACCGTCAGGTAAGGAAAGGGAAGAAAGAGATGGATGTGAGTCACGCAAACGAGGCATCTCCTCTGATGCACTGTAAAGTAAGTGATGATACTTAGAGACCTGTTGCCTTTCCTCTCAACCATCTTCACCACATGGGCTGGATGAGTTGAGAGCTTACCTGCCGAGTTTGCCGAGCAGGCTGGCCAGCAGCAACTGGCAGGAGCCGGGGGCGCACCCCTCAATCTCCACCAATGCACATCTCTATGTTTCCATAGTTCACTCCAAGGGGTGAACGACGGAGGGAGGGCAAAGGGAGCAAATCACCTGCCGTGTTTGCCGAGCAGGCTGGCCAGCAGCAACTGGCAGGAGCCGGGGGCGCACCCCTTAATCTCCACCAATGCACATCTCTATGTTTCCACAGTTCACTCCAAGGGGTGAACGACGGAGGGAGGGCAAAGGGAGCAAATCACCTGCCGAGTTTGCCGAGCAGGCTGGCCAGCAGCAACTGGCAGGAGCCGGGGGCGCACCCCTCAATCTCCACCAATGCACATCTCTATGTTTCCACAGTTCACTCCAAGGGGTGAACGACGGAGGGAGGGCAAAGGGAGCAAATCACCTGCCGAGTTTGCCGAGCAGGCTGGCCAGCAGCAACTGGCAGGAGCCGGGGGCGCATCGTTCCATCTCCACTAGAGCATCTGCTGCGTCTGCTGCTGCCCGCACCGCTGCCTGCTCCTGCTGATCCGCTGCCACCTGGAGTGAGCGAACAAAAGACATAATCGAAACAGAAAAGAGAATGGAGAAGGGCACACGAGGTTCATCTGCTGCATCTGCCGCTGCCCGCACTGCTGCCTGCTCCTGCTGATCCGCTGCCACCTGGAGTGAGCGAACAAAAGACATAATCGAAACAGAAAAGAGAATGGAGAAGGGCACACGAGGTTCATCTGCTGCATCTGCTGCTGCCCGCACTGCTGCCTGCTCCTGCTGATCCGCTGCCACCTGGAGTGAGCGAACAAAAGACATAATCGAAACAGAAAAGAGAATGGAGAAGGGCACACGAGGTTCATCTGCTGCATCTGCCGCTGCCCGCACTGCTGCCTGCTCCTGCTGATCCGCTGCCACCTGGAGTGAGCGAACAAAAGACATAATCGAAACAGAAAAGAGAATGGAGAAGGGCACACAAGGTTCATCTGCTGCATCTGCCGCTGCCCGCACTGCTGCCTGCTCCTGCTGTTCCGCTGCCACCTGGTGTGAGCAAGCGGGGGAAAATTAAGGTGGAAAGGGCACATTGGCTACATCTGCTGCTGCTACTATTTTTTTTCTCTAAGAGCTGGGACAAAGAGGGGGGGGGGGGGGGGGGGGTGAGGGGGGAGGGTGTGTGTCGTCATAATAATCGAACCCCTTAGGGCGTATCTCAGTTCGAGTAATAAGGCCACTTTGGGTCATAGGAGGACCAATGGTATTCCAGTAGTGTTGCTGAAATGCGCCTTATTGGTCGTCCAAGAATCTCGGATGACCCAAACAGTGCCCATGACCCGAATTGAGATACGCCCTTAATGCAAAAGAACCACCTGATTGCACCGTACCTCCTTGAAAGCAGGCATGAGCACAAGGGAGAGCAGAGGCGACGACGACACAGCAGCATCCCTGCCAGCCACTCTCATTTGAGTCGCCATAATAAAAGCAAGGCAGACGCACCTCCTTGAATGCCGGCATGAGCACGAGGGAGAGCAGAGGCGAGGATGACACAGCGGCATCCCTTCCAGCCACTCTCGCTCCTCCCTGCTCCTCCCCTCCTCCTCCTCCACCGCCCCTCCGCCCCCCTGCCTTGGGTTTTCTGGGGATGGGGAAGGGAGAGGGAGAGGGATGAGGGATATGTCATCCCATATCAACTCACAGCATACATTGCACATCATACCATATCATCTCACAAAGGACATCATACATCATACCATATCATCTCACAGCACATACCTTGTTCGAACGGTGCCACTGTCCATGGCATCCCCCCCTCCTCCTCCTCCTCTCCCGCCCCCGACCCTAAACCCTCTGCTCGGCCCCTCTGCTCAACCAACATGCAACTCACTGCATACATCGCACATCATCCCATACACACAGCACAGCACATACCTTGTTCGAACGGTGCCACTGTCCATGGCATCCCCCCCTCCTCCTCCTCCTCCCCCGCCCGCTCTGCTCGCCCGCCCTCCCCCGCCCTTCTTCCCTCCCTTCATGGCCTTGAGTGCTTCTGCCATGTTGGTTGCCGAGTCCTCCTTGCGCCCACCCTCCTCCGACTGAGAAACACTCATGGGGTAGAGACAAAGGAGACGTAATAGTCAGAATAAGAATTACATTGCCTCCCCTCCCCTCCCCCCTTCATGGCTTTGAGTGCCTCTCTGCCATGTTGGTTGCCGAGTCCTCCTTGCGCCCACCCTTCTCAGACTGAGAGGCCCACAAAGGGAAGAGAGGCACACACAGAACATTCGAGCCAAGACAGCTTAATAAGGTGCCTCTCCCCCCTTCATGGCCGTGAGTGCTTCTGCCATGTTGGTTGCCCAATCCTCCTTATTTACGCCCACCCTTTGCCAAGTCAGACTGGGGAAAGGAGAGAGCACACCGAAGGAACATGTGAGTCAATCCAGCAGCATGGTGTCCCCCCCTTCCCCCCCCTCTTCATGGCCTTGAGTGCCTCTCTGCCATGTTGGTTGCCCAATCCTCCTTATTTACGCCCACCTTCCGCAGAATTAGAGCGACGGGAGAGGAGAAGAGGAGAGAGGGACACAAGAAAGAGGGGCGGCGGAAGAGGGGCAGTGGGCTGGGCAAATAAGAAACATGTCAATCAACTAAGCCCTCTGCAGACTTAAACTGAGGAACCCAAGGGGAGTGGCACACACGCACACCCAGAAGAGCGAGTAAGGGAGCCAGAACACCCATAAGACCCCTAGCACCAACCTTACCTTACCACCCCATCTCCTTTTGAGACGTCTCAAAAGTCCAGATTTATTGAGTCGATTACAAACAATCCACCCAGAAGAGCGAGTAAGGAAGCCATACCATAACACCTCAGGCACCAACCGTACCACCGCCCCATCCACCCCACCCACACAATGGCCCCACCCACCCATGCCATGCCACCACCCATGCCATGCCACCACCCATGCCATGCCACCACCCATGCCATGCCACCATCCATGCCATGCCACCACCCATGCCATGCCACCATCCATGCCATGTCATGCTACCACCCATGCCACCATCCATGCCATGTCATGCTACCACCCATGCCATGCCACCATCCATGCCATGCCACCATCCATGCCATGTCATGCTACCACCTATGCCATTCCATACCACCATCCATACCACCATCCAGGCCACCATCCATGCCACCATTCATACCGCTTGAGAGCCATCAGGCAGGGGCGGCTTGCTGCCTCTCCTGCACCCTTCGATGCCTTTCTCATGCCACCCTTGCAATCATGCCATCATTCCACCACACCACACAACCCCATCCCACCCATGCCAACCGTGCCACCACCCATCATACCGCTTGAGAGCCATCAGGCAGGGGCGGCTTGCTGCCTCTCCTGCGCCCCTTGCCGCCCCCCTGTGAGGCAAAGGGACGGGTTGGCAAAGCGGGAGGGGAGAAAAGAGAAGGCGGTAAGCGGGAGGGAAGGAAGTAAGAACGTGGCCCATCACGTTTCACAGAAACGGTGGTAAGGGGGAGGGATTCTCAATAGGTTTCAGTAAGACTGTAAGACTGAAAGGATTGCCTAATGAGACGTGGTGACTTTTGAGTCGACTCAAAGATCACCTCGCAACCACAGATCAGCGGAGATTAGAACGAGCTAAGTCTGGAGATCTGGGTTGAATCTTTTTCTCTCTGCGACTTGAGACGTCTCAAAGCTGGAAGGCGATCGGATTGCAAGAAACAAAACACTTACAAGTCAGCCAAAACCCCAATCGCCCCCCCTTACAAAGTGTTAGAACCGAACTCACCCCCTCCTCATCGGTGCCTGAGCCCTCACTCTCGCTCCCCCACCCGCTCCCATACAACCCCCCTTTCTCCCCGTTCGCCACTCCCTCCTCCCCTCCTCCTCCCCCCCCCTCCTCCCCCCCCCCCCCCTCCTCCTCCCCCGCCTCCTCCCCCTGCGCCTCCCCCCGATCCCCCAGATGACCCCCCTTTCCCCTTGCTAGCCTTAACCGTGCCTGTGTTCGCACCCTTCTTTACAGTCCCACTCCCAGAATCACGCGGCTTGCGTCGCACCGTCCCACTCCGCTTCCCCCCATCGTACCCATCCCCTCCCCCTCCCCCTCCGCCTCCCCCTCCCCCGTCATCCCTCCCCATGCCATCAGCCCCACCCCCCTCAGAGGGGTCAGCAACAGCGGCGCGGATCTGCCTGCGAAGCGTTTCAGTGGGTTTCATGGTGCCCGTGGCCGTGCCAAAGTCCCAACTCGCCATGCGTGAGTGCCTGGGGGGAGGAGGCAAGGGGAGGAGGAGAGAAGAGAAGAACGAGAAAGCCAGTGTGAGGAGGATCCAGGGGTTTGAAGAAGAAGTGTTTTGAGACGTCTCAAAACACTTCTTCAAACACAAGAAGAGAAGAACGAGAAAGCCAGTGTGAGGAGGATCCAGGGCCCCCTGGTTAGAAGAATCAGCAAAAGCACAGCAGCGTTTCAGTGGGCTTCATGGTGCCCGTGGCCGTGCCGAAGTCCCAACTCGCCATGCGCGAGTGCCTGGGGAGGGGGCGGAGGAGCATGGGGCGAGCATGGAGCATGGGGCGAGAGCATGGAGCATGGGGCGAGAGCATGGAGCGTGGGGCGAGCATGGAGCATGGGGCGAGAGCATGGAGCATGGGGCGAGAGCATGGAGCATGGGGCGAGAGCATGGAGCATGGGGCGAGAGCATGGAGCATGGGGCGAGAGCATGGAGCATGGGGCGAGAGCATGGAGCATGGGGCGAGAGCATGGAGCATGGGGCGAGAGCATGAAGTGGAGACTCAGTAAGCGTATAAATTCCTTCATCACTTTTTAAAAACAATTCCCTGTATCACTAACGATGACCTGGGAGCGCTGCTGACGGCAGTAGCGGCAGCAGCAGCGGCGGCGGCGGATTGCGGAGGGCAGACCTCAGGGTCGTCTGGCTTCATGCGTGGCGATACAATGCGCTCCCCTGCACTCTCCACCCTCTCCCTCTCCATTCCCGCCCCCCACACTAGCTCAAATCACTGTCCATTGCTCACCTCGGCGCGCTGCTAGCAGCGGTGGCAGCAGCGACAGCAGCGGCAGCAGCAGCGGCGGCGGATTGGGGAGGGCCGTCCTCCGGGTCGTCTGGCTTCATGCGCGGCGATACAATGCGCTCCCCCGCACTCTCCACCCTCTCCCTCACGCGGTCGATGATCCGCGGGGTCTTGCGTGCATACTTCACGAACCGATGCTTGAGTAATTCCTTGGCGCTGGGCCTCTGAATGCAGCCAAGCAGGCAGTCGGAGAAATCATGCAAAGGGGGGGAGCAAGGCAAGCGATAGGCAAGGGTTGATGAGTCGCGGCAACACCACGCGCTCCCCCCCAATCTCCACCCTCTCCCTCACGCGGTCGATGATCCGCGGGGTCTTGCGTGCGTACTTGACAAACCGATGCTTCAGTAACTCCTTGGCGCTGGGCCTCTGTAAAAAACCAAGTCAAGGAGAAGGTAATAAAACATTGGAAGAGTTTTCAACAAAAAAGCCGTATCACCTTCCTTCTCTCCTGTCTACCTCTCGCTCCTTTCACCTCTCCACCCACCGCCTCTCACCTTCCCATTCGCCCCCCTCACCTCTCTGGCAGTCTTGTTAAGACAGAGGTTGACAAACTCCTTGAAAGGCTTCGAGAAATGGTCGTCCAACTGCAGGCACAAAGCAGGGTTGTGCGGGGGAATCGGAAGGAGAGAGTGGGAGGGATGGGCACGAGAAACGGGAGACGGGAGGGAGTCTTGTTAAGGCAGCGGTTGACAAACTCCTTGAAGGGCTTTGAGAAATGGTCGTCCAACTGCAGGCACAAGGCAGGGTCGTGCGGGGAGGGGCAGCAAGGAGGAGAGAATGGAAAGGAAGGGCCCTTGGGGATGAGGAAGGGTGCACGCATGGGGTGCAGATCCGCACGCACTCACTCACCCAAGGGGGTTCTCCCCTTACCCTTACCTGTGCAGGGTGCACTCTCACCTGATGTGGAGGGTCCTTGGGAATGAGAAAGAATGCTCGCATGGGGTGCAGATCTGCACTCACCGGAGACTGTTTAATAAGTCTAAAGAACCGCGAGCATCAGGTGCCGCGGGTGCAAGGGAGCACTCTCACCCGCGGCGGGGGGTCCTTGGGGATGAGGAAGAGCGTGCGCATGGGGTGCAGATAAGCACTCAACGGGTACTCTAGACTAGAGAACCGCCTGCGTGCATCTCACCTGCCAGATAGGTGACGGGTGCACTCTCACCTGCGGCGGCGGGTCCTTGGGAATGAGGAAGAGCGCGCGCATGGGGTGCAGATAGGCACCCTCACCTCACCTGCACCGCCTACACCCCACCTGCACTGCAGATAGGTGAAGGGTGCAGTGCACTCTCACCTGCGGCGGCGGGTCCTTGGGAATGAGGAAGAGCGCGCGCATGCGGTGCAGATCCGCATTCACTCACTCACCCAAGGGGAAGGGAACCGCCCCCTCCTGTTTCCGTGCAAGCACTCTCACCTGCGGCGGAGGGTCCTTGGGAATGAGGAAGAGCGCGCGCATGGGGTGCAGATCCGCAAAGGGCGGCTCCCCTTTGGCCATCTCGATGGCTGTGATGCCCAGCGACCAGATGTCCGCCTGGTGGGAGAAGTGATGGGGAGGAGGGGGAAGGGAAAGGGGATGAACGCCAGGAAACGAGGGAGGGAGCAACGAGGAGAGTAAGGAGGGAAGGAAAGGGCGGCTCCCCCTTGGCCATCTCGATGGCTGTGATGCCCAGCGACCAGATGTCCGCCTGGTGGGAGGGAGATGTGGGAGGAGGGGGAGGTGGGAGGAGGGGGAGGCGGGAGGAGAGAGTAAAGGGTATGAGAGAAAGGGAGTGGGACAGCACACCTCTTGCCCATCTCAATGGCTGTGATGCCCAGCGACCAGATGTCCGCCTGGTATGGGAAGAAGGTGGAGAGAGGGGGAGCGGAGGGGGAGTGGGGGAGAGGATGGCAGTGCTATTGTTTTCAAACTCCGCGAAATTACCCAGAAGAAGGCTATTCAACGATCGTGACACTTGGGCTTCAACAAACGCAGTGAGAATTCGGCAAGAAGCTCACCTTCTCGTCATATCCGTCGGTGTTCTGAATGACCTCTGGCGCCATCCAAAAGGGCGTTCCCACAAACGTCTGTTTCATGCAGCAAGCAGGCATGCGGAAGGAGGAGTAAGCGCACAGAAGGGGGGCCGTGCGTGACAGTAAGAGGGGAATACTCAGTTTCAAGGCGTTGAAACAGGTCAGGCACAAGCGAGGTACGTGGAACAAACAAACAAACAGTGAGAAATAGAAGCACGCACTTCAAGACAGGAACCAATACGACAATTTTTGAGTTGACTCAAAAATCGACTTAGCACACACTTCAAGACAGGAACCAATACGCCAACATCCCGAACTACAACCGCATCTTTTGTTTGGATATGGTTTTGGTGAGCTTGGCGGCGGACACAAGGAAAGCTTTACGTCGACTCAAATATCACCTCGTTACAATGTTACGGACGCACCTTTCGCTTGGAGATGGTTTTGGTGAGCTTGGCGGACACACCGAAATCAGCCACCTTGACATCTCCATCCTCGTTCAACAGAATGTTGGCCGCTGCTCAGTGGCAGGAGACATGGCAGGGTTACAGAGGGTTGGGCAGGGGTACAGAGGGTTGGGCAGGGGTACAGAGGGTTGGGCAGGGGTACAGAGGGTTGGGCAGGGGTACAGAGCAGCAGATCATGACAGGTCAAGAGCAAGCAGCAAGTCGTTGGCTGGATATGGTACTACCACATCACATCACAATCAGGCAGGCCCCATTTGGATTCGCACCACATGCAACCCACCTTTGATGTCACGATGGATCTTCTTCTCCGAGTGCAGATACTCCAAAGCCTGCAGCAGGTCGTGCAGGATGTACGCTATGGACGCCTCGTCCAGAGGGGCCTCTTGCAGCTGCGGATTGGGGAGAAATGGTGAAGGGAAATGAGAGACATCAAGACAGGGAGAAAATGGTGAAGGGAAATGAGAGACATCAAGACAGGGAGAAAATGACAAAGGGAACTCGGGACTCCAGAGCCTGCAGCAGCAGATTTGATCTGAGGGAGCCCTCAACGAGAGATGGACTGTGAGATGTTTGACTTGACTGTTGAGCCTTGACTGACATGATTGTTTGCACAGCGTGCACAACCTAACCTTCTCAAACATTCTCATACATACTGCGGTGCAGTATCGTGAAAGAAGGAGTGTTTTGAGACGTCTCAAAACAGTGTGCACAACCTTCTCAAACATTCTCATACATACTGCGGTGCAGTATGTATGTGCACTGCTTTTGCGTCCACAACCTTCTCAAGGAAATTCAAAAGAGAGACTCACCAGGTCAGCGACGCTGCCACCAGCCGTGAACTCCATGACGATCCATAGCTTGGTGTTGTGTGTAGTGCATTGCTCATGACCTCTTCGGGAATACTCAAAGCGAGACTCACCAGGTCGGCCACACTGCCGCCCGCCATGAACTCCATGACGATCCATAGCTTGGTGTTGTGCACACTGCTGCCGTAGTACCTGTGTGGGGGTGGAACACGGAAAATTACATAGAATCGGAATATGTTGACTGCATATGAATACGAAGCAGACTTGCAAACTAGTAGTATGCTAGAGCTGGTATTTGCTTTGGGAGGAACATTACAATAGATAATGCTAGCCAGGCTCGCTAGGTGTGGGCCTCAAGGTCACAGCGGCACTGGCATGGCATGGCATGGCATGGAAGGGTATGGTACCTGGTGATGTTGGGAGCTCTGCACTCTGCCAGCAGTGCAATCTCCTGCTCCCATGCAGTGACACATGCACGAACGCGCACAAACGCACACACACGCACGCACACAGGGAGGGAGAATTCGCATGCACAGAGAATTGTGCAAGTGCAGATTGTCAGGGCAGGTTTGAATGGATTCAGGAATTGAGAAGATTTGCGACGAGTTGCAACGGCTCAAAGAGACTTGCAAAGACTTGAGTGATTAACAGAAGACAGCAAGCAGCATTTCTACTATACGTGAACCTCTTTCTGCCATGTGAATTGCTCACCTTTTGAATATCCTCCACGTCATCCTCACTGCAGCACAGCAACACAGGAAATGGCACGCCACAGAGCAGACATGGCATAGCATGGCATGGCAGCAGAGCAGACATGGCATGGCATGGCATGGCACAGCAGCAGAGCAGACATGGCATGGCATGGCATGGCACAGCAGCAGAGCAGACATGGCATGGCATGGCACAGCAGCAGAGCAGACATGGCATGGCATGGCGTAAGAAAGGTAAGAAGTCCGCTTAAACCAGAAATTTGAAGCAGGATTGTTTTGCAGGAACGGCAGGACAAGCTTAAACAGGCTGCTGGGACGAGCAATTAATCAGGAAGCAAAACGGATGACAGGACGAGGGCGAAATGGGATAAGGGAATGCGGAGAAAAAAACAAGATTCTGTCATTCATATAAATAACGACAATCAGGAACGTACGCTTCTTCCAGGTCGATGATCTTCACAGCCACCTGCTTGCCCGTCTCCTTGTCGATCCTGCACGATGTGGTAACCACATGGTAACACCTAAGGTCAGCACGTCGTCACACGAGACAATTTTGAGGAAGCTGAAGTCTGATCTGATTGTTTGTCTCCTGCTTGGGCGTCGCCTTGTCAATCCTGCACATTGCGGTAGGTGAGTTCATGGTCGCACCACAGGCCAGCACATGGTCGTACCCCATTCGTCATGCTTCATGCCATCACGTGTTCAGATTCTAAGTGCTGACAACGCGTGCGAACTGCACTGAAGGCCGTGCGAGAACGAAGATATCACGAGTCGAGCATGATTGGATTATGAAATGACTCCCAGCCATGAGGTGCATGGCACGCCAAGCGACGACATGGAAAACGACCGTCAGCCATGCGAGTGGAATTAGAATTACGAGGATGGATTTCACAAGAGAAATCGAAGGGTGTGAGCGCGGTCCATCCTAGGAACGATATTGGCAATGGCAATAGCAACGGAGACTTACCCCTTGAACACATCGCCGAACGACCCTTTTCCAATGAGCTCTGTCAACTGAAACCGCTGGTCCATGACGACACGCCACGCCTCTAATCAGCCACCCGAGTGTTCGACGCTTTGATTCAAGGTGCAGGGTAGGTTTTCGGAAAATTAATGCTAACTCGTTTATGGATTAGGAACCAGAGCTTCTGAGCACAGAAGGGGAAATGCAGGAGTAATTACCCTAAACGTGCTCGTAAAGCACGAGCCTTGCCTTCAATGACGAACCCTAACTTGCCGAAGCGGTTAGTCTGCCAACGCTGCAAACGCGGAAAAATGCTAAAATCTAGGGCAGCATTGACATGATTCCTAAGAGCCTTGTCGGGCAGATTTAACTTCGACGTGGCCCGACACGACGCTCAAACGGCATTGAGCGATGAGAGTCCAGGGAGTGAACCATGGCAATCACTTCGAAACATCGCTTTAGCTAGCCCGAATGGCGAAGGGCCGAATGAGACGAGAACAAAGCCACTAGACTGAGGTTACTTAGTGGAACTGTGCAAAGATATTAGGGATAAAATGGATATAGCTGCATTTGGTGGGAGTAATCAGCAACAACCAGCTCCTACCAGCTCAGCCTGCTGGGCTGGCGAGTCGAGTGACAGCGTTGCTTTTCGTAGCATACGTCCCTTCACATCGTGGTGGGGGAGATTATGTTCGCCAGTCACACTTCGGCAGAGGTTCACGACTGTGGTAACCGTAACACAGGTTTCTCCCCGGTGGTAACCCGGGTGTTGCAGGTGTGTTGCGGGTGTGTTGCAGGTTTTGCGAAGGCTAAACTTTTGCCGAGGTTTCGCAGATTTCTTTGGGAGTCGATGAGAACACACCCCCCCTGAAAATTGCTGCGTGCGTTATTTCATGGCTCCGTTTCTGCCTGAACCAGACCAGAGACTTGTCTAAACCAAGTTCTTGCCGCGCCGTCTCGTGATCTGAAAATTTACCGTTTGGATTCGCAAACGACACAGATCCGATGGCATTCGTCAGATAGATAGCCATAAGGAAACTCCGGGCCCGCTATTGCGAGCATTAGCCCGACCTTGATCGCTGTCTGGTCGACATCTCTCCTCCTCTTTTGCCAGAGATGGCCGGAGACGAAGACGACGGCCTCTTAGACTTCGAAACAGAGCTAAAACTCAGTATTAACCCCAACATTCAGGTCCGCATTGGCGGCTCGCTCAATCCGCCTACCACCGCTCCACACAACCAGCAACCGCATTCCCGGCCCTCGCCCTCTATCCCTCCTCCGGAAATCACGGAAGAACCTGGTCAGGTTCCCAGCAATCTCGCCGCATTCTACGGCGATCATGGCGCAGCGGCCTCTCAAGACGCGGAAATTGCGGTCAGCCCACTATTGGAGTTAGAATCCCCTAACCACTCGTCTGTGGGAGGCGCAGGCGGCTATATTTTCAGCCCCGCAAATGTCGGCGGCCAGATAACCTCGTTCTTAGGCGCGTCCGTCCCCGCAACTCTCGCCGTGTTCAGCGCCGCGTTTTCCGGGCTGGCTTTCGCCATCAGCAGTGCGCATCAGGGTCTTCCCGTGGCCGCGCATTTCGGCGACTCGGATAACGAAGAGAACACGAGAGGCTTAACGCGTATGCCTCTAACGGGGACATCTGGAGACTCGTTAAGGAACCCAACCAGGTGTCAACAAGCGTGCATACAGTTCTGGTCCGACCCAAAATATTACTCCATAGCGACATTTGTACTGTACCAGATATTCATTGTACTCGTTATTTACCTTTTCCACCTCATGGGAGCTTCTCCTGGTTTCACGGCCTTCCTCGCAACCTCCTGGGCGGTCATTTTCGTGGGTAATTTACTCCTGGCGCTGCTTCTACCCGGCCTACTCGCTCGAGAGTTCCTGAAGCGGTACGCCAAGCGCGATATACTGGAGGCAGCTAAAGTGGGTTACTCTATAGCGGGGCAGCGGAGAGGAGGGCGAGTGGTGGTGCTGCGAGGGCGAGTGAGCCTGCCTGCATCGCCAGCATCCATGCCAGGAGGGTCCAGTCTCGATGGGGATCAGGTAAGACCTGTTGCTTTGAGATGAAAAACCGTTTCTCAAAGCAGAAGCAGTGGTGCTGCGAGGGCAAGTGAGCCTGCCTTCCACGTCTGCATCCATGCCAGGAGGGTCCAGTCTCGAGGGGGATCAGGTGAGAGAGAGAGAGATGTGGTATAACAAGAGTAAGATGGGAACATGGTGGGAGTGTCATGGGAGAGTGGTGGGAGTGTGATGAGAGAATGGTGGGGGCGATTATCTTTCTTCCAGCTCACCCCTTTCTCTCCCAGTCCTTCCTCATCATGAGCACGTCCGTCCAGTCCTACTACGCCTGCCGAGCCACTGCCTTCTACCGCCACCAGGAACACCATCACCCCCCTCATGGTGAAGGGTACCGCCACCATCACCATCTACCGCCACCCTTCAACCCCTCTTCCTTCCCCACCCCCCTATGCTTTTCCCCACGGCTTCCTCATCATGAGCACCTCCCTCCAGTCCTACCACGCCGGCAGAGCCACAGCCTGCTACCGCCGCCGCAAGCATCACCACCCTCACCGTTCACCCCTTCCTCCCCACCCCACCTTCCCCCTACCTGTGCAAATCCCCAGGGTTTCCTCATCATGAGCACATCTCTCCAGTCATACCACTCCCGCCGAGCCACGGCCGCCTACCACTGCCAGAGTAACATATCTAAGCCACTCTCTCCACACCACCTTTTTCCTACCCCTCTTCCCCTCCGCCCCTCTCTTCTCCCCTTCCCGATTTCAGGGTTTCCTCATCATGAGCACATCCCTCCAGTCGTACCACTCCCGCCGAGCCACAGCCTTCTATCGCCGCCGGGAGCACCTGCGGCAGATCCTGGCCGTCGATTTCCGCATATCCGACGCCAGCGGGGACAGCATCCTCGTGTGCGGGCGGCGGGCGGCGGACCGGGGGAAACTGGCGGCATTTGTGCAGCACGGGACGGTGGTGCCTTTGGCGTCTAGCAAGCGGATCATCGGCTTCCTGGATACTTCCTGGCTGGAGCAGGAGCAGCAGTTTCTGGAGACCCATCCAAACCTTCAGCCATCGGATCTTGTCATTTCCCGGGGGTAGGTGACTGTATTAGGTAGAAGTTGTGAGCTTCTTTTTTTCTCCTCAACCCTCCCCTGTCATGTGTTCTCAGATGGGCAGGCAGTGAGCGTGATGGGGCTGCTATGAGAAGCCTGGCCTGGCCATTAGAACGTCTAACGACGACGGGGAGGCGATCCGCAGCAGCAGCGTGTGGTCGACGGCTCAGGAGGGCCTGGTGCTGGAGCCGCTCTAATCTCTCCTTCTCCCCTCCCCTCCTCCACCCCCCACTCCCCCCTTATCAACCCCCATACTTCAATCTTCCTCCCTTCCCCGCAACCCCTTCTCCCGTTCTCCCTCTCATCTGCCCACAGGATGGTCACAGAGGGTCAGACGGTGAGCGTGATGGGGCTGCTGAGGGAAGCGCGGCCGCTAGAAGACAACGGGGAGACGATCCGCAGCAGCAGCGTGTGGTCTACGGCCCAGGAGGGGCTGGTGCTCACTCTCCTAGAGAGGAGAGCCGTTCTACTCTCTCTCTCACTCACCAACCTCCCCCCCCCCCCAACCCCCCCCCTCTTCCCTTCTGCCCTCCTGGCCCCCATACTCCATCTCCCCCCCTTTTCCCCACCCCCCATCTCCCTGCCTCGTACCCACAGAATGGTCACGGAAGGGCAGACAGTGAGCGTGATGGGGCTGCTAAGAGAAGCAAGACCTCTAGAGGACGACGGGGAGACGATTCGAAGCAGCAGCATGTGGTCCGCGGCTCAGGAGGGGCTGGTGCTGGAGCCGCTCTGCTCTCTCCTTTTTTCCCCTTCCCATCTCTTACTCCATTCCCCCCCTTCCCCCACCCACGCCCCCAAACCCCACTCCCCTACTCGCTGTCCTATATCCACACAGAATGGTCACAGAGGGGCAGACGGTGAGCGTGATGGGTCTGCTAAGAGAAGCGAGACCTCTCGAGGATGACGGGGAGACGATTCGCAGCAGCAGCGTGTGGTCTACAGCTCAGGAGGGTCTGGTGCTGGAGCCGCTCTGCTCGCCTGTGAACGTGGGAGAATTCTTCCTCTGCTGGGGCTTCTTTCCTGTCTACTTCCCCACGTGGGTGTCGGGGCTACTGATCTCAGACAATCAAGGGCTGTTCTAACCGAAAATGTGGATACTGCATGGTGCTGCCTGGCTGATGCTGGAGCCCCTCTGCTCGCCTGTGAGCGTGGGAGAAGCCCCTCTGCTGCTGGGGCTTCTTCCCTGTGTACGTCCCAACTTGGGTCTCTGGTTTACTGGTTTCAGACAACCAGGGGCTGTTCTAACCAGAAAAGGTGGAAGGTTTTGGGCACAGTGCTGCAGTGGCAAGGCATGGTGCTGGAGCCGCTGTGCTCGCCTGTGAACGTGGGCGATGTTTTCCTCTGCTGGGGCTTCTTCCCCCGTGTACTTCCCCACTTGGGTCTCTCTGGTATGCTGGTCTCGGACAACCAGGGCTGTTTTGACACAGACTCGTGCTCGTTTCAAAGACCTAGGGAGGGGCTCTTCTAAACTGTTCAGGAGGGCATCAAGGGCTGCTTTGGGAAGCAAAGCAAGAGACATTGCCTAATAGAGCAGGGACACTGTCTACTGGCCAATTCAGTAACCAGACCTTTGATGCTCCTAGAACATCAGCTGCGCTGCGGTGGGCTGTAATCATATGATTGTCTTGGGAGATTGTCTTCTTGGGAACCTGATAATCAGGGACGTTGTATTTGCTAGCAGGCATATGATATAAGGTGTTGGGCAGAGTGCCCCTTAGGATCTTTGGTAGGATGAAACTCTAGGTAAAGTGATGTAATAGCGGAAGCGTTTAATGATAAGATTCTGAACCACCTTGCGCTGGTATGTGAGGGCAAAGTAAGTTGATTAAAGCAAACAAGTACAAAGGTTTATATAATAGTACAAGGAATATGAAGAGATACGAGTGATAATTGTTTTCCTGTTGCGGTTCGATACAATGCGACTCGGGCAACTGCTCAATATCGAGTCAGTTGTGTGTCCTTGCTGTCGCGCTGCATTTGTCAAGTCAAAGGTCGCTGACCTTTGACCTTCGCGTAACCTCCAGCTGTTACTTTCAACCTCCGAGGGTTGACTCGCTGGTGCCTCGATATAATCTGCTTCGCTTGTGCCTTGGTGTTTTGACACGATAGAAGCGCTTTAGGACCGATTGTTTCCAACACTCCCCTTCGCTTCTGGAGTGTCGCTGACGTGGCTCTGTCCAGTCAGCAACATGCAGTATTCGAACTTCTGCTTCCCGAGCTTCTTGGTCAGGTAGTTAGCTGCCATCTCGGACGTGGGGCAGTATGACAGCTCGAGCTTTCCCTTTTCAATCTCGTCCTTCACGAAAAAATATCGCAGGGCTATGTGTTTCGTCCTGTTCGCGAAGCCGTTTTTGTTGGCGATGCGGATTGCAGATTGGTTGTCGCAGAACAGAGTGAAGTTGGGTAACTCGGCTAACTTCGCTTCTTCTAGCAGTTTGCGAAGGTAGAGTCCTTCCTTGGTGGCTGAGCAGAATGCAATATATTATGCTTCAGCTGACGAGAGAGCAATTAGTTCTTGCTTGCTCGATTGCCAGGAGATATGCCCGATAGGCTCGAAGCGATAGATATAGCCGGTGCGTGATCGTCTGTTGTCGGAGTCGCCCGCATGATCTGCGTCAACGTAACCGACTAGTTTAGGCGGTGCAGTTGCGTTCTTATGGTAGGTCAGGCCGATCGTCGGGGTGTTGACGAAGTAGTGAAGAGCGCGGTCGAGTTCCGCCAGATGCTCTGCTTCAGGACTTTTGAGATAGGTAGCAAGCTGGCTTGCGGAGTATGAGAGATCGGGACGACAGGTGACGGCTGCGAAGAGTAGACATCCCAGCTTCATCTGGTAGTCTCGTATGCCGGCGGGTTTGAGTAGGGCGGAACCTCCTTTGTCGTTCCCTGCCGTGTAGCGGTATGGCGTGGAGATGGCTGCTGGTGTGATCGTAAAGCGTTTGGCGATAGTGTCGGCGTATTTTTCGGCGCTGAGGTAGATCGCGTTATTTTCTTCGCGGATGTTGAGGCCGAGGTACTGAGTGACGGTAGATGAGACTGTGAGCGTGAGATCTCGCTGCAGCTCCCCTTCAAACCAGGTGGTGATGCCGTCAGTCGAGCCGATGTAGAGAAGATCATCCACGTAGACGATTAGCAGAATGTAGTCTTCGTTTTTTATGAGCCGGTACATGCCTTGATCGTGTGGTAGTTGCTGGAAGCCGATGCGGATGAGGCGAGCGTGCAGGTGTTGTTGCCACAGTCGCGAGGCCTGTTTGATGCCGTAGAGTGATTTGAGTAACTGGCAAACTTGGTTGGGTTCTCCGTGGGAGCTGTGCGGTAACTCAACGAAGATTTCGGCATCAACAGGTGCGTAGAGGAATGCGTTGGCGACGTCGATTTGCCGCAGCTTCTTTTTCTTCATGGCAGCGATAGCGAGGAGGATTCCAAGTGAGGTATGTCGGCTAACCGGGGCGAATGTCTCGGTGAAGTCTCGTCCGTGCTCCTGATCGAATCCACGCACAACCCAGCGTGCTTTGAACTTCTCAATTGTGCCATCTGCTTTTGTTTTAACGCGGAAGACCCATTTCCCGGTGAGGATGGTTTTGTTCCTCGCCACGCTGATGGGGACGACTTTCCAGGTGTTCCGGTCCTCCAGCGCTTTTAACTCTTTGTCCATGGCTTCACGCCATTTCTCCCTGTGTTCCCCCCCCAGAGCCTGCTGAACCGTCGCAGGCTCCTTAGGAAGAGTGTCGCCATGGACTGCGGTGACGAGGCCGAGTATCTGCAGTCCAGTTTGAGAGTAGCGGGGAAGATTTGCGTCCTCGGGATAAGCTGCTTCGTCTCCCGCTTCTGGATCAGGTAAGAAATTTGGTCCTACTCGTTCTGCTTCGTTGGTGTTGACTGTCGCAGGTGTTACGTAACGGTTGTCGGCGAAGTAGTAGAAGGTTTTGGCGTTGACACTTTCGCGGGGGTTGTCGTCGTCCATGGGAACGTCGACGGAGCAGAACGGTAGAGGTCCGGCTTCTTCTGACGCGTTGTCCACATTCTGCTCGTCCCAATCAGCTTCGTCTTCTGCGGAGGCGAAGGCTCGGTTGCCACGAAAACCACCTGTGGGATCTTGGTCCTCTTGCAGGGTGGCAAGGTATGTCTGGAGCGTGAGTCGTTCGTAGAAGATGACGTCGCGTGCTGCTACTGTTTCCTTGGAGTGGACGTCGAAGATTTTCCATGCGTTGTAATTCTTTTCGATGCCGAGGTGTAGTCCCCACTGTGCGCGTTGTGAAAATCTTCCCGCTCGTGCTTCTGGGGGTTGGTACTGTACCATGCATCCAAACATTCGTAACATTTTTGTGCTGCCCTGTTTCCCTGTCCACAGCGGATGCGGTGATGCGTTGTTCGGAAGCGATGATGACGACAGCAAGTTGTGCAGCATGACAGCGTGGTCCATTGCTGCAGGCCACTGGTGGTTGGGTAGTCGCATGCCACGCAACAGTTTGCGCATGCTGTTCTGCAGAGTCCTGTTCATTCTTTCTGCTACACCTTGCTGTTGATGGGCGTAGGGAAGAGAGAGGAGCTGCTTGATGCCTCTTTCCGCCAGGTATTGCTTGAATCGTTGAGAGGTGTATTCTCCTCCTCCGTTTGACTGGAAGCTTTTTAGCTTTACGCCCGACTCTCTCTCTGCTACTGGTAGCCAGGTAGCGAACGATGCGAGGGCCATGTCGCGGCTGGGTAGGTTTGGGTGCCAGACGTAGCGGGTGGCGGCGTCGATGAAGGTGATTGTGTAGTTGTAGATTACTTGTCATGGCTCCCGATTGTACAGGATGTCGCTGTACACCTTTTCGAGTGGTGCGTACGCGGGTGCGCTCGGGTTGTGACGAGGAGCGAACGACCGATGTGGTAAGTCGGCTTCGGGGCAGGTGAGGCATGTTCCTCGTGCTCGTTGAAGTTCTCTTCCGTCGAGTAGTAGTAACGAGTCCTTGTCAAGGACTCCTGCTCTTATGGTGTTGTTTAACACAGTGTTGCTTGCGTGTCCCATCTGTGCGTGCCAGGTACTTTCGTCGGCGCGATGCCCGGGTGATCGTCGGTACATGTCGGAGTTGGAGCAAAAGCTGGCGATGAAGTTGGCGCTACGATGAACTTCTCGTGGTGCTGGGTGGAGCTGTTGTGCTGCTGTTGGCAGTGTTTCATCGACGAGGACTGGTGTCGTTGTTGATGCTGCTCTTGTTGTTCCTGCTGCTGCCGATGCTGTCTCTGCTGCTGCCGATGTTGTTTCTGCTGCTGCCGATGTTTTTTCTGCTGCTGCCGATGTTGTTTCTGCTGCTGCCAAATGTTGAATTGTTACTAACGCGCGTGTTCGTTCTGCTTCAGGAATGGTATGTGAATACCAAAAGCCTTCCGGACTGAAGTCTGGATCAAGATCTGGAGGGTGTGTCCAGTCGGTGAAGTTCACGATGGCGTCGCTGTCTGCGGTGCCTAGGTGTGGTACGAAGTCGAGGACGAAGACGTTGTTCTTCAGGACCGCCTTTCCGATGTAGAGGCCGCCCTTCCCGTGGTACAACTTGAACTCCTGGGTGGTACTGTCGGCTTCCAGGTGTATGCCTTTCGCCATCAACTGACTAACACTTAGTAAGTTGTAGCCGAGTCCCTCCGCGATTAGTACTTTTTGAAAAAACTGAAACGAGAATCAATCAACTATGAATGAAGTGGGTACAAGTACTAACCCTAATTGGGTTGTACCCCCTATGGGATACTCCACTATAGCCTATACAATAGCATAAGCTATAATGTTCTGACACACCCCCATAGGCAAAGTGGGGGAGAACAAGGGGTCACAAGACCAGTCAAGTTAAGTAAAGCAAGCAAGCTCAGGGTGGATCACAACGTCACCACACATTCTGAGCACAAGTTCAAGGCCACACGACCTGTTCACATGCAGGAGTACACATATATATATAAGGCTAGACAAGCAAGAGCAGGTATATATATATATGTAACAGTACAAGGAAGGTCAAGAGGTGAGCAAGTGAGGCAAGACAGGTACAAGACCCAGCTGGGTGCAGAAGCGCTGATGATCACAAGGCGCAAGTGCCTTGGTGAAGACATCAGCAGT